ATAGGTTTAAAGGGAAATAATATCTGTCTGACATAGACAAGTCTTATTGAACTATTATTTTACTCATTGTGACATGATAAATAAGAAGTTTATTTAGCCTGACAAAAAAAGGAGCTAAATAAATTAAGCATTGATCATTTTAAGTAACTCAAATGTAGTTGATGAACAGTATACCATGATATACTGTCACTTGTATGAAAAAAACACTACTAAGTTAAGTATTCAACTATTAATTTTTTTTCAAGTGTAGTAGGTTATCAAGCATGGTATAGTATTTTATATGCGCCTTACTCTTGATTGTACTGACACTCTAAAGAAAACCTCTTTTATTGCAAGTCACGAATGTTGTTCACTAAGAATTACACTTTATAGTTTTCAATGTTTCTATGGCTAAAATATGTTTGAGATATGTACTAAAAATTAAACAAATGTCTAAAAATAAATAAAACTGAAAATTTATAATTTTTATAAGGTGAGGCTAAAGTCCAATGAGTAAAATAATTAATTCTAATACCATTTGTATTTATCTAATAATTTCATTTCATTTCATAATTGCAATAGACATTGATCTAAGCTACGATGTAACAGGTTCACAAAGGATAGCAACAAAACACATCATTTACGAATGTGTAATGAGTATAAAATACTTGCTGTATGTAGTATACAAAAAGTACAATTACACACTTGTTTCTATGTAAATACTTGGTCAAATCGAAAAAGTAACATTTAAGCTTTTTCTACAGAAATAGATAAATATAATTAGCAGGACAATAACTAGAGTAAGACATTATAAGTTAAACACAACAAGTCAATAATGAATGACTCATAACTTTATTCTTCAAGGCTATTTATTTGTTCTAACGTTTTTTTCTCTCTCATTTTAAATGATTAAAAATACTAAACAAAAGTATAAATAAATGTTGCTACACAAATCTCACGTAAATACTTCAATGTACTAACAATTACTCATTCTTTAAATATAAGTATATACAGTAAGAAAAAAAGTATTCAATGTAAATGTATATGTGCTCAATTGTTCAATAACAAGCAAATGTTCAATTGATGAGCAGATTTAAATAATGTTTTATGTATGTGTTTTCTGGCCTACGCATACAGATATACAAGTATATTGTTCGGATAACCAAACATTCTTTATGTTTATCAATGAAATTCATCTTAGTGTCACTTAGACTTGCAGAAATAAAAAGAAAAGAATATTATTTTGAAAGAGAGTAAAACTTTTGGATTATTAATGGTGGTAGTAAAAAATAACTGTTACAAACGGATGATTGATTAGGTGCGTGACAGAATTGATTAGACTGTAAATGATTATCAGATAGCATTAGGATAGAAAAAAAATCAAAGAACTAAGGCAGTATCGTTCAAACAAATTATCGAAATCAATACTTTCAGCTTTTTGATTTGTAACATATCTCTGAATAGGAGTTAATTTACTGAACTATAATAACCTATTCATGAGAAATCATAGTATTTCTGCTTGTTTCTTTTCATCCAGCATGACTTTGCTTATTTAGTAGATACGGATGGTGGTTAGCAAAGGAATCCAAGGCGCCTGTTTCGCCTAACTTGAAATTCATCGGCACGATTCACCTATACTTCGAGGTCGATTTTTATTCCGAGATCCGGATCATGTATCTTGTGCTACTAGTGCTAATGAGTTGTCCATTTAGACACTGAGTCTAGATAGCCACCGGCTTATACAACAGGGTGAATTTCAATTCATTCATATTGATTGCTTAAATCTTCCGACTGATATTCAAGAATGCACCCGATCAGTATTTCTGGGCACATGTGCACTTTCAGTCTCTGAAGAAAATGCTTATGAATTAATTGAGATATCAGGGTGATTCGCGCAGAATGAACATATACTAAACGAAACTTGTCAATTGCACTCCTAAACATCAATAAGAAGATTCAAATAACCAAGTCCATGAATTATCATTCTACGTAGTTCTAACCTGAGGAAACAACAAATAAAACTTGGGCCCTTCGAATGAGCAACAAACGAGTATGAACCAGTTTATAAATAAATAATAGCGACGTGGTAATCTGTTACAAAACATGTTCGACCAACACGACTGGTTGCGTAAACTGCTGGACTAGTGCTAAAGATCGTCATACTGCAAACAAACAAAAATCGGTTAAAATATTCAAAGAAAAATTAGAAACGCACAAATACTTGTTTAAAATTAGTTGGATTTCGGCTAACATAGGAAATCGGGATACATCTTTCGACCTATTTGGAACTCGTCAGTCAGATGTGCTTGCACTGTGGTTTTATTCTTCACACTAAGACTAAAACCCAGCACCTTTTGTTTCAAATAAGAACCTGTGAATATATCTGTCTAAAGTTAGACGGAGATAATTTGAAAATGAATAATCATTAGTCTAAACAACCGAGAATGTTCATTGTTCCAGAATATGTTTTTCATATTGGTATTAACTCATCATAAATCTTTGTTGTATAAGTAAAAATGTTTAAATATTACTTTTTCATATTACAGAGAAAAGTAAACCATTTATTGCAGTACCTTATGCATGTTAAATCCCGCGTAAAAACAAAATTTATTTCAAATAAATATTTAGGTGATCTATCGTCTTTTCAAGGTTGTTTGACAAAGTTTTTCTAATTTTAATGTTTCAACCATTTTTGATATCAAATTCTGTCGACGAAAAGATTCAGTACAAATATATAGACAAGTTTCACTGTTGGTTTTGCTATACCGGTGACGCAAGAGTTCACTGGATTAGATCTTCTAGGTTATGCTATAGTGATGAACCAGTAAATTGTAATATGGGATTTTTAAAATTTTTGTTGCCTTTTTACAAGTTAGTTTCAGAAAAAACACCATTGAAGAAACATTTGAGGCGCTTTGGATTGAATAGGACAAGTCTATGACGCCATTTTGAAGTAAAAATGACATCACGCGATTGGGTAGACAATAAAAATTCTTTGCATTAATTTAAAAGAAATTGTACGTAAATATAAACTAGCTTTTACAGGTTTGTTTGAGACTTAATCACACACGAAAATGTTATCAGAGACCTATTAGTTAATGGCTACTGTCAAATCGTAGAGACGCCCAAAACAAATGTGTACCCGCATGAATGTATGTCACCAAAATTTAATTACTCAAACAACGTGTCAGTGCTTTATTGTTTTAATGGAATTAATTGTTCGCTTTTATCACATACTTTGTACATCATTGTACTCAAAGAAAAAATATATTCAAAGAATTTACAACTTCCCTCTAACGAGGGGACATTTATAAACAGCTATCCGTATTCAATTAATACAAGTGAATATATATTATAAATGACACCATTTGATGTCTTCATACAGAATAGTGGCAACAGAAACAATAGTGACAACTGAATAATAATTTTACAATAGTTTAGGTAATTTGTATCTATCTTATGCTCAATTACAAGCTTCTGAAATAAGGTAAAAATGAAAAATTTGAACTGTGTTGACTATGATCTTACATACTTCTTTTTTCAAAAATTTATTAAAAATCAATTTTGATACCAATAAAAAACAATTTAACAACTTTGTAATGTGTAAGAATTCTATTAATTTCTACTAACAGCATATGGATGTTTGATTCAATTTAGTGATAAAACATGAGACGTAAAATAAAAAAAAAGTTTGTCTGCGACTCATTTATAGATTTATATGGTGTCTGTTGTGCATATGGCGTTCAAACATATTTTAAATGAAAAGCTCAAAATATCAAAAGTGAGATTTTGATATTCTAAAGCTGCCTAACAGTTATCAAACCTTACTTCTCAGCAAGAAGTGGTTGAAAACAACTGAGTGTCAAAGTTCGTTCAATAACTATCGGATTATACAATCTAACCAGTAATCTTGTTTTAAACAAAAAACGTTCATAGAAATTTTAAAAATTACCATGAACTCACAATATTTTGCTAAATAAACCTTGATGTGAAACTGATGAATCTGTATGATATCACCTAACATCTTTAAGTCAATTTGGCACGAATAAGAATTTACATTAATAAAAATTAAATACTGTGTTCCGGCACTGGTAGCAAGGTTGAGACTTGTTTTTTGTCTAATTATTTGTCTTTTTATGGAAGTTCTTAAGACATTTAAAAACGCATAATATATACCTTAATATCAAAAATTTGATTTCGCTTCTTGCAGAAAGTTTCTTATCATGTATGATCGCTTGCAATAACTGTTTCAGTATCATGTTGATCATGAACTAAAGTACTTTATGACATTCTAAATTACTTAAATATAATTATATTTACTTTTGTTCAAATTGCATTTCTGCTGAAAAGGCGGGGTTACAAGCCTCTAATTCATGAAGTGCGTTTAGCAGTTTGTGATGGCGGATATAAAAATTGTTCTCGTGAACTCTTATGCAAATTCACTCTATCGTACAAAAATGATGGCAAGAGTTTCTCCAAAAATTATGTGACCGACCAGAGGATTTCTTAAGCTTCAGTACTTCAAGTGTAAAAAATAAAAAATCTTGAATAGTTTACTAGGGTAATAGAGTACATTTATTCCAGGTATCGAGAACGTACAAACGATGTTATATTGGGAGATTTGTTTATGAGTAATCATATAATATTAACTTTAGACAAGACTTTAACAGTTCGTTTCACACTTTTTAATTCGAGCCTCTTAACATGACTCATATAGAACACCTCATGTGTTAAGTTTAGACTGTTTGACCTGTGAAATATACCGATGGTTAAAGAAGGGATCATCTCAGAATACAAAGTTTTGTTATTTTGAAAGTGAGTCCAGTTAACTCGTTTCAGCTAAAGAAAAAGAGTCAAGTTATAACATTGATTCTTATTAAATGCAACCACTAATTAAGGATTTTAATAAAGCTAAAATTGAAGTTCTGAGAATCATGTGTAATTAGTTTTCACACGATTTTCGAAGATGACGTAAAGAGAAAAGACTAGAGTAAAAGGAAAACACTCTTGAGCTAACTTACTGTTATCGGTCCTCGGCTGTTGTTAAAAGCTGAAGACATTGAATATCCCAGAAGGGCTCCATTTAGTCCAGGTTGCATATGAGTCTCTTTTTCTAAATTAATACTGATTCGACTGCAAGTGCTCCTCAAAAGTGGACACCAAAAAAGCCCACCGTTGTTTCCTTCTGTTGGAGATCCTATGACCACCCTATATCAATACGATTATATAAAAGGGTATGGTCATATACCCTTTTTGTCCTGAAAAGTGAGTATATCCCAAAAGAGAAAATCCAAAACTAGAACCATCTGGTCCTGTTTTGAGTAGTGGAGATTTGAAATCAATGTTGAATCCATTTACTGAGGTTAAATGCTCGCCAAATTCATATATAAAGATAAGTATAAAAACATCAAACCAACAAAATCCACTGCTCGTTTTCATCTCATTCGAACAGTGAGGGGCTTTACAGACTAACCTTTACCTTCATTTTTTAAACGAACAAAGTCCGTACAATGTTCATCTATTGTTCATTCCAAGAAATCCTTACTTTTTGGGCGTTAGTTTAATCTTTCCAGCTCTATCAGCTACATTAATTTCGTATATCCAACAGATTTACTACCTATGTCAACAGCAAATAAAATACGGAAGGATTGATTTCCTTGTTGTCGTGTCTTATTGTTACTGTATGGTTCCAGACACTTAGTAATGTCTGTTGGGTGTTATTCTAACAGCCCGAGTGCATTGATTCAGTCTAGGTTCGTAGTTATATGGGAATTTGTATTGGATAGTAGGGTTTTTCCATATCTACAGCCAAGCCATTTTTTTTCATTGTGGATAATAAAAAGGATAAAACTCTTATTCTTATGACGAAATGAACGTTTTAAGGACTGAACAAAAAATACACTAATTTACTGGTAATAAAGATAGTGTGAGAAGACTGAAGTGTAAGATAAAGAGGGGAAGTTATAGTAATAATATGCGAGTTCTGACTTAGTAAATGAAAATGTGATTATGATACCGTCAGTGTGTCTTCGCAAATGCTGTACTTTTAACCTGTCATCCACTTAGGTGCTCATCTCCGCACTCAATCCAGAAGATGTGTCTGTTTCAAGGATAGTGGGCGCGATGACATTGAGACCTTCTAGCTTAGGTCTTGCCTATGTTTTTAAATATGTCAGGAGCAGTTCTGGCCTTTTTATTTCAATTTCGCATCGCAGTCGGGTTTACATTGACTGAATATTCTATGTAATTATTAGTGCTGAGTAGTTCCTGAAATCACACTTTAAGCAGACAGTTGAAGGGGTAGGTTCTTTGTTTCATATGAGGCCTAATGTTCATGATATAAGGTATCGATGGGTCAGGTTTTAACTGGTTGTCTATAACACATTCATCTGTTTCTGTAAAGTCATTTTGAAGTCAGTTAATCTTCTCCGCTTCTTACGAATCTCAATATCTTTGAATCGCCTGGATATGCACCTAACGGACCATTACCGAATGCTGGGAAGATGACTGGACCTAAGATGTCCTCCTGTGAAACTGTTTACACTTGTTTATGCTTGAAAAGAAACAAACTGTTCTGTAGTTAGTTCTCGGAACTAAATCAATGATACTTATTTCCAGCACGATTACAGTTTGGAATGTGTGTGGTACTGTGTGTAAAGGTTTAACGAGGTCAAAGAACGTTACATGAACAAATATTTTTGTTCTCAAAGGAATGCCAGCTGTTCAGAAAATGGTAGAGTTGGATGCACAATACTTGTCTTCCTAAACCAGTATTCGCCTTCACAATAGGCGTGGTTTTTACATATGTGTTTCTTCATTAAGCTCTTTATTAGTCGTTCCATCATCTTCGACAGGATTGGCAGTATTGTGATTACGTTCATAACTGAGATCGGTTTGTTCGACGAATGCATGATTACCAAGTCTGAAGATTCAGTTAATTTCACAGAGTTCCCATATGTGAGTTCAGTCGTTGGGTCCGGTTGAGTTTTAATTACAAAATCTTCAAGTATTATTTGTTCAGAAAAACTTCAGGGCAGTCGAGAATCTTCAGGAAAATACAAAGTTCTGATCACTAGGATATCGCCAAATAATATTCTCTTACAACCGGACCAGTGGCAATAAAACTACCATCTCATTATGAGAAGTAACTCTAGTTTTATCACTACATTTACACTCTGAAGCCATCTAAACGAATAAAACCATGGTATATATTAAGATCTGTAGATAACCTCACTCCATAATTTCTTCGTTCGAAACGGTTCCAGATGTTCGGTAGTGACTTACGGATGGGGGTCGAGCAACAGGACTGTCTAATTAATTTCAGTTGGCAGTTGGTTGTGGTTTGAATGAAAGAGTTTATTCAGGGTAGTAGTGTTTCTGGATACCGGCAGCTATCATATTACGAGACCGGAGATCAGTTAGTTGCAATGTGGAGAATAATAAAGAGAAAATTCTAATACTAACAACAGGATTTCAGAACTAAGTAATATAAAGATAATTCAGTTTATTAATTGATGATGAAGAATGTGAGAGGACCGAAGTGGAAGCGAGGCTGAGGAAACAGAGATAATAGGAGAGATAGATTAAGTCAGTGATCTGAGGAGATGGCAATAAAAACAACTAGCAGGTCTTAAGACATGCATCAAGTACAGCTTGTCCAAGACTTACTTACTGACTTTACTTACGCCTGTTACCCCCAATGGAGCATAGACCGCCACCAGTTTTCTCCAACCGACTCTGTCCTGGGCCTCCCTCTCCAGTTCTGTCCAATGTTTGTTCATTCCTCTCATATCTTTCTCCATTTCTCGGCGTAATGTGTTCCTTGGCCTTCCTCTTTTCATTTGACCTTGAGGGTTCCATGTGAGAGCTTGTCTTATGATGCAGTTAGGTGCTTTTCGTATTGTGTGTCCTATCCACTTCCACCGCTTCTTCCTGATTTCCTGCTCCACTGGAATTTGGTTTGTTCTCTCCCACAGTACGTTGTTGCAGATGGTGTCTGGCCAACGAATCCGAAGTAATTTGCGTAGACAACTGTTCATTAACACATGTATCTTCTAGATGATGGCTTTGGTATTTCGCCAAGTTTCCGCTCCATACAGTAGAACTGTCTTCACATTTGTATTGAGAATCCTGATTTTGGTTGTTGTTGGTTGTTTGGAGTTGCAGATATTTTTCAACTGTAGAAATGCAGCCCTTGCTTTGCCAATCCGCGCCCTCACATCTGCATCGGATCCACCTTTCTCGTCGATGATGTTGCCAAGATATGTAAAGGTTTTAACGTCCTCGAAAGCATCTCCATCAAGCGTGATTTGATTGGTGCATGTTGTGTTGCATCGGAGAATTTTGCTCTTTCCTTTATGTATGTTGAGACCTACAGCTGCAGAGGCTGCTGCTACACTGGTCGTCTTCTCTTGCATTTGTTGTTGAGTGTGCGATAGAAGAGCCAGATCATCTGCGAAGTCCAGATCGTCCAGCTGCGTCCTAATTGTCCAGTTGATACCGTGCTTCCCTCCAGATGTTGACGTCTTCATAATCCAGTCGATGACCAGGAGAAAGAGAAAGGGTGAGAGTAAGCAACCTTGCCTGACACCGGTCTTCACCTCAAACGAGTTTGTCAGCTGACCTCCGTGCACGATTTTGCAGTTGAATCCATCATAAGAATTCCGTATGATGTTAACTATTTTCTCAGGCACACCGTAGTGTCGAAGAAGCCTCCACAGTGTTTTCCTATCCACGCTATCGAATGCTTTCTCGTAGTCGATGAAGTTGATGTAGAGTGGTGAGTTCCATTCAATTGATTGTTCCACAATGATCCGTAATGTAGCAATTTGGTCAGTACACGATCGATCCTTACGAAATCCGGCCTGTTGATCTCGAAGTTGGGCATCTACGAAGTCCTTCATTCTGTTTAACAATACGCTGTTGAAGACTTTGCCTGGTATTGAAAGAAGAGTGATGCCTCTGTAGTTCTCACACTTGCTGAGATCTCCTTTCTTTGGTATTTTGATCAGGTATCCTTCTTTCCAATCTGATGGTAATTGTTCCTCATCCCAAATCTTCTTGAAGAGGATGTGAAATATTTTTGCAGTTGCTTCTACATCTGCTTTCATTGCCTCTGCTGGAATGTTGTCTGGTCCTGCTGCTTTGCCGCTCTTGATTTGTCTGATGGCCATACTGATCTCCTCAATCGTAGGTGCGCCAAAAAATAATTGGGAGGTCCGTGGATGCTGCTTCGATGTTGGGTGTGTTCAGCGGAGCTGGTCGATTCAATAGTTTCTTAAAGTGCTCTACCCACCTATTTCGCTGTTCTTCAGTGTTGCTGATTACTTTACCTTCCTTGCTTTTCACTCGTCGTTCTGGTTTTACGATAGTTTCTAGCGAACTTCTCTGTTGTTTCGTACAATTTTTTCATGTTTCTTTCTCTTACAGCCTTTTCCGCCGTCATTGCTAGATCTTCCACATATTTTCGTTTGTCAGCTCTGATGCTCTTCTTCACTTCCCTGTTTGCTTCTGTATATTCGGCTTGTGCCTTAACTTTCTCTGCTCTTGTTCGGCTGACATTGATTGCTGCCTTCTTGTTCCTCCTTACTCCATTTTTTTCAAGAGTACCAACAGAGATCCATTCCTTGTGATGGTGCTTCTTGCGAGCTTGCGAAGGAGATGATAATTCGAATGTGAGCAAGTGATTACCACGTTCCTTCTAAAATCTTTCCACTGAGGAGGCTGTGGTCACCTCGGCTGCGAGAGCATTCCGAGTTGCTATGACTCCTGATGAAAAATATGTGATCGAACCTAACTATTCGCTCTTTGATGCGCGATTTTTCGAGAATCTTCTCGAGGGGAGTAGGGGTGATGCATCCGTAAGGTGCTCACATTGTGATAGTTCGGCCTGCTCAATATGTTGTACGCCATAATCAGATCACTCCTGATTCTCCAAACGCTGGAGTCCATCATCGTAAGTTCTATTTCTCTACACTATCATAGATTTCTTTCAGAAGTGTATGAATATAAAAACGAATTCTGCTATTTACGCAGTTATTTGTTAGTGTCTGTAAAATACTTTGTGGACGCTTGAGTCATATAATATGGTCAACAAACAAGTTTTAGACTGTTGGCACTGCTGCCGAAATACAGATTTCACCAGTCAAACTTCCTGTGGCAATATTTGGAAGGATTCCATATAAACTCTTTGTATCCAGTATGGCATAATTATTCTTTTTTTAAAGTCACAGTTGGCAATGGCTACCCTAAATAATATTGTGCTAGTATTATATAAAAAGATCAAACATTATCAAGACTTATTTGCTTCGTATTGGACTTCGAAATTAATCATAGAATTTTTATCCAGGTGACCCTAAATTTAGGGATTCCGAGAATCACTATACAGATTAAAAATTCAGGAACCAAGCACCTTTTGAATTCTATCTGATGAATTTAACGATGCGTACTTTACAAAAACTAGCAGAGATTTTGTTTTACCTGTTAGGTGACTGTGAATACTACAGGAGCTAATTCTCCTTGAAACGAATTCTTGACTTGAATAGACTGCAGATTGTTTCGAAATATATATGGAATTCATCTTATCAGTCTTCACTTTCATCACTGAAGTTAGGATTTTAAAATCACCCTTAGTAATATTCTAAATTTTTTAAAATTTCTGAATTAGGTTACGCCATTCAAAATGCAATTAAATCTCACACCCGTTGCACAATTGAAGAGCAATTTAGTTAACATAAAGTTAGTAACTATGGTTTTTGCTTTGAACTGTCAAATAGGGGCAAGGCCAAAGTTAGAAGAGTCAGAACAGTCACATTACTACCGATACTATCAAGGTTAATGGAACGGCTGGAGAGTGAGTAAGTGGGATAGTACATAGATCAGCACAACACCCTCTTTGAGTCAGACATGGGTTTATGAAAGACAGGTAGTGCTCAATTGGACAATCTACTGGGACCAAAAATACCGGTCCATGTAATATCCCTTGACCTGGTGAAGACTTCTGACACACCACCTTACATACTTCAAATCGCAAGTTTGGAAGATGTAACCTATTAGCTCAGAATTACTTCGAAAACAGGAAATTCCGGGCCAAGGTAAGCCGGCGAGTATCAACATCAGCAGCTTCATAGAGGACCATCACATTACCACTCCTATTTCTAATTTGTTCTAATAACTTGTAAGATAAAATCACCTCGGAGGCACTTTTCTATGTAGATGATGCAGTAACCTGGAGGTCCATTCGAAGCGTGAAGGTTTCTTTTTTTGTTCGGAAATAACACTAGGGCATTAGAGTAATGGGCATTTGACTACAGTCTGAAACCTTATTGATCGAAATGCCATGTTATGAACATCCTGCGCCATGTGACATAAACAAATTGCGTCATCCATAAAGAGTCAGTTGCTAATTATCTCCTCAGAGCGCTATCTCAGACAAAAGCCAGTCTCTTTAAAATGCATGCACGGCCACAACATTCAGTTCACAATATTGATACACTCATCGCCTTATACATGGTGTAAATCTTCTGACGCGAATGCTGATATAAGTAACTAAATGGGTGATATGTTAAAAAATAAACCTTACAAAGACAAACCTCAAAACTTTAGATTATGTTCGCTGGGTTATAGAAAAATAGGAGGTGATCTGTTAATAGCATCCAACATAATAAGTAGGCCGAATCGCTCCAAAATGAGCATCTTGCCAGACTGTCGTTCTCTTGACCATCGAGGCAACCATTAAAAATTGTACCTAAAAACTGTAATTCACTGAGCGAAAATCCAGATACACTCTCTTTTACGAAGAGTTGCTTACGTTCGGAAAGCTCTTTCAGCTGAAGTGAACACAGCCCCCTCAGAAGATAAATTCAAGAGGAGATTTGACATACACGGACTCAAGTACGGATTATCATATCCCACTTGAACCAGCTGTGCTTAGTTCGTCCTCAAACTCTCGTGCTATTACCATCATCACTTCTTCATGCCTTTAACTCATTCTGTCTCGCCTGTTATCTCTGCTTCTTGTTATTTGCTTACACCTCTGTCTTCTCATACATTTTTCCTTGCCAATTAGTTAACTCACTTATTTACTTAGTTCTGAAATTTTCTTCTCATTAGATTTAGGTACTACTCCTTAATATTTTTATCCAAATTGGAACCAACTAATCCTCTGCCTAGTGATGCGAGAGCTGCTGGTATTCAGAAACTACTAGGCTGAGATAAACGCAGCCACTCAAATCACTGACTTGTAAATTCACAGATTACAGCCAAATGACTAGAAGTAGTGAAGTAGAGTGGCTAGGCTACCATCTATTGGACATAACCGAATATCTGGAAACCAACAGAAGTAAAAAGTAGAGGGATTAACGAAATTAACTGGTTTATACTACCCCGTGAAAAAATTATTGGATTATGGAATTGAAAGATGTTTTTAATACTTCAAGAAACTGAGTAGGTTTGATAATAATATTTCAATAAAAACATATACACCATAATCAAAATATTTGTTAATGAGGTAAGTTTTCATACCAAAACTTTTGTTTTGTTGTTTCAAGTACAAACATTCAGATAAACATTAGATTAGCGTTTATTCGTTTCATGATGTATTTGCGTCTTATATTTATTACGTCTTTCATAAGTATTATTTACTCAGAACCATGCAGAGAAGTAACTACTGAATCGTGTCTAAATTTTGCTTTACTGTAGAATGATTTGCAAATAAAAAGCACTAGTTGTGATATCTCTGGAAATAGATGGCTTTTTAAAATACCAAAGGATGATAAAAAATGTGAACTTGACGAACTCAGTTTGCCAAAAAAAGTTGACAACTGTGGTAAAAATTAATTTCTACACATTTATTTATTCTAGGAATAACATGTCCGAGTGGAATGCACCTTAATTTGTTGTCACAGAATTGCGAGATCTGTCCATCTGGAACGTATTCAACGGGTGATAGGCTTGAGGTAACAAAATGGGATTCAATGCCAGATTTTCTGACCTCCGATATAACTTATGGCAGTATGTCGAGTGAAAAATGCAATTTGTGAGTTTTGGGCGTTTATTCTAAGATATCAAACTTTATTTCTTGCCTCATTTATAAATACAGTCCCTGCAAAAGCAGTTTAATCTGTGACAGGTGAATAGGTTTGTTACGTATCTTATTCTAGACACTATCCTCATGTCAGGCTTTGGCGATATAAATTGCATATTCCTACTTTTAATGTAGTTTACATTTTGGTGCTCGCATAATATGTCAATGAAACCTACTGAAATAAGTTGACATAATCTCGTTCTGTTGATTACTTGGTTTGCTTGACAATAGATCTAACATTTACACACTTACTATATATACACAAACTTTTCATGAAAATGTCGTCTTTTTGCAATGAAGTACAGATTAGGCCTAGTCATTACATGCTTTTATTCCATTTGACGGATTTTTGAACTATTAGAGTGCAAAGTTGATTTGGTTACTTGAAATGATTAATTTTGGCAGGAAATCGTACTAATAGGATGAAATGAGGGAAACAAAAGAAATGAAAGGCTTATGAACCACAAGAATGGAATCTTACAGAAACAAATAACAAGTACAGACCCATAAGTACAACAGCAGCAGCAACAACAGTGAAATATGTATATTATTTCATCATCGAACTTATTATTTACAACACTGCTTAATTATTATAATCATAAAACATCTATGGCCCGGATATAGAAAATCCTGTCAAAAATAACTGGACAGGTTGTCATTTTTTTATTAGAGAGTTCATTTTTATAAGATTCGGCATCGTTCTTAAGTTAATAACTATCAGTGTCAACCCCGCCTCTTTCCCGCGCTAAAGAATAGATTTAAAACAAAATAACAATTTGAAGATTTTTGACAATGGCTTAATATATAGTTTTAGAATCTCCTCAGGTTGAACAACATTATTTTGCTCAAAAGTTGTTTGATCAGCGATGAACACGTGAACGACATTTTAAGTCCTTAGGAGAGCTGTTGATGCTTTGGTAACTGTGTTAAGACCCATGGGTTTTTATTTCAAAACTTCACTGACCTCATGAATAAACGTGTTCAGTGTTCATCGGCCTTTGCTTTACACTTTGCCATTCATAATCTAAATGCAGGTTATGGAAGTGTCTCTTGATGTTGATCATATCATTAGCATGAATAGTTAATGAACAGCGGTAAGCTTTTATTTTTTATCAAGTTCTAATTTCAGATAAAAAATCAGTCGAAATTGGTGAATAATAGCCAGCTATTATATCCCAGTCATGAACTACTTCGTGACGGAAACAGCTCTTGTTAACTACTCTAAACGATAGTCGAACAGTATTGAAAATTTACTTAAGCCAAAAGTTTAGACCATAAAATGTTTAGCGGTCTAACACTATCACTCTTTACATGAAACCTAAAAAATCTAAATTAGCGGCCATATACTTCTGAAGTGTTTAAGCCTACGATGAAACAGTTATCTATAGCACTTTCATTTTTAATAGTTATTTAAATAGGTTTGGTTCATAAAATTCATTCAAATTAATTAATCACTACAAATTATGTTTGACAGCAATAATTTAATCGCTATTATAGTAACTAAATATGCATTATACTCCTTATTTACTCATCTGTCACTTACAATATCTCCAAGGCCACCCTACTTGAATTCATGTGATGTTTAAAATTCAAGTTTGTTTTGAATTACATACGGTGGTATAGAATCACGTTTAGAAATTAATTACTTGGTTGGAATGCCATTGAGTATCTCTGGTACCTTTATTACTCTGCCATTAGTAAAACTCAGTTGTAAACACTGCTTTTTGAGTACCTTTGTTGGTTCAATTATTCTGCTTGTCAGTAAAACTTGAAGTAATTAGTTTGAACGAGTTTTCGTCGGTGTCTCACTTTTTGAATCTAAAATCATTTATACGGAAACTTTGGAACAGAAGTTTCGATAACTGTTGATAGCTAGGCCTCGATCCTGAGTAAAGTTGTTCGATAAATAACAATTAGATTATAAATCCCGTTAATTTATACAAAGTATCATACTTAACTTGCAGTGCGTTTTGGCATTTAATCAATTTAGTTTATATGACTGATTCACCATTTTTAAAAAAGTTGATTTCATAATATTTATGGGGCTTTCTACTTCAGAGTTTCATAAAAGTTAATAACTTTATAGAATTATCCTCTGGTTATTCGGTGTTGTGAAATCAGCATAAGTGGACAAATATGTATTTGACTAAACTTGAAATATATGTGAAATTATAGATATTTAAAGCGACTATGTAGATTTTTAATAACTAGTCTAAAAGTAAGTTGATAATCAAATACCAGTTGCTTAATTTTGCTGTCCTAAGGGTGGAATGATACATGTATGGTGTGCTTAACAAAAGCAGGGATTCAGTTATATCGGCTAAATCATTTACTTGGTTGTTCAAAACGTATATTTCAGGCAATTATTTTTATGGCACTTTAATTTTACCCAAACTTGTTGAACCGTCCAGTTAGCTGCTATCAACTTCAGGTGCTAAATATTGCATTATTCGTTTGTTCCGATTTCTCGCTTTTAAAGTTCAAAATGTTTTGCTGAACGTTTTGTGAGTATTTTGAGGCTTTACTAGAAAGATATTATTGCTTTCGCCGAAATGATTATACTTGTAGGTTGACTGCCTTTTTCTAATCCGTTTTGCTTCAACGTTTCATATACCATAGCTTGCTTGTCATTTTGTTCAGCGTTAAAGGCAATCAACCCATGAGTTTAGTCAGTGAGAATTCCCTCAGTTCATTTGCTAGGTTTATTTTTACCGGTAATATTAATAAAAACTTCGGGGAACCATGGGAACATCTAACCAATAAAGGAAAATAAAACAGAACACGTGATAACCATGGAAAGATATTTCAAAAATAAATTTTCAATCCCAAGCAGATTTTAAATGCAGACAAACTTACCAGGTTCGCTTATTGTTCATAAAACGGTATTCTGATTCGATTTAAGCTTTCATTCGGCCAAGATAATATAAATCAGTTTGTATATGGCTTTATTATATCAAGCTTATATATTATTATATGTTCAAGTGTATAATAAACGTCTGAAGTGTTTTGTATTCATTTTGTTTTATAGGACTGGTTGGTCACCTCAAGGTAAATACTTGGTTGGAAAAACAACGGACAGTTGCACGGTGATACTTTCTATGAAGGTCTATAATCTTAAACCTGGAACAATAACGTTTACATATCAAATCGAAGAATATGGGGCGATGGCTTTCTTCATTGTAAGTAATACCAGCGAGTTAATATAAATATATCAACAGAAACATAGAAATTCGTATGAATGTACATCAGGAGTGTCATCAGTGCTGATGACCTAGTGACTGACGAAATCTCAGCACGGATACAGAAAGCTCGATTGGCTTTTGCCAACATGCATCACCTATGGCGTAGACGAGATAGCCGTTTGCTGACTAAAGGACGAGTGTACTGTGCAGCAGTTCGCTCTGTCCTACTTTATGGCTGTGAAACATGGACGGTAAGAGTAGAAGAAATTCGTAGGTTACTGGTTTTTGATCATAGGTGTCATTCAGGGTCTCTAACTATCGACAACTAACATCTCGCGGACCCCAACCAGGCAGCCTACATCTACCAACATGACTCAGTCCACTTGTCAGTGACTTCATGGATTTCTGCTATGTTTTGGTCTGGTCGCCCCTAACTTTCTTCCAACCTACTCCTATACCACAAAACATAGCTCGTCGAGGCAGTCGGTGGTTGGATATTCGTAACACATTACCCAACCACCTCAACTGATGAAGTTTCAATACTTCATCTATTGATATGCCATTCTTACCTAGCACCCGTTTCCTAATAACAGCGTCGCTCACTCGGGTGTCCCAGGATATACGAGCAATGCTTCGAAGACACCTATGATCAAAAACCAGTAACCTACGAATTTCTTCTACTCTTACCGTCCATGTTTCACAGCCATAAAGTAGGACAGAGCGAACTGCTGCACAGTACACTCGTCCTTTAGTCAGCAAACGGCTATCTCGTCTACGCCATAGGTGATGCATGTTGGCAAAAGCCAATCGAGCTTTCTGTATCCGTGCTGAGATTTCGTCAGTCACTAGGTCATCAGCACTGATGACACTCCCAAGATAAGAGAAGCTGTCAACATGCTCAACTGCTTCACTCCCTATCACTAGTTCAGGTGCGGATGCAAGCCAATCTTGAAGCATCATTTTGCATATCGATGGGGAGAACTGCATGCCGAACATGCTTGCATTGTTGCTTAGAGTAGTCGGAAGACTCTGCACTTTGTCAGCGTCTTCACCAGGTAGAACCTTTTCATTGGCATATATAACTGCTGGTTTAAGTTTTCCTACTAGACTGACAACTCATTCTGGAAAATACTTATATGAAATGAAATAGTTCTCAATAGATTATTTGTATCATAATACGATCCACCTATCTACCGGGTTAGTCACATTTACCTAACCGGGTAATACTTTGAGTTGTAATCGTTTTGATTATCCAGATGCTGGCTGAAATTTGACCTATCTATGTGTGTACATTCTCTGAAGGTTACCTTCATATTGTCGTTGTGACAAAGTGTCCTGATGTGAACATCATATCCGGGGTGTGGGCACATCCTGCTGATGAGTCGTAAATATAACCGAACTCGAATCCTGTGTCTCTCTACTAACCGTAACCTATATACTTTTACTGAGTGCTTTTAAGTATAACAGACTTGAAGACAGATTCATCGAAATATAGTCTATTGAAGATAACCCGATAGAGATTTTTGTTCAATAATGTTGTGAAAAATTATGCTGGATAAGAATATCTAATTTTGATGTTTGTTGAAAAAATGTACTACGAAAGTTAACCTAACTAATACAAAACAATGAAACAAACTAATGTGAATAGGAAATTGATGATGACTTTAACTCTTGAATCCAATTTCTCTTTTGTTAATCAGACCATAATGTATACCGTTATAATTAATAAGAATAATTAGTCATATTTTATACTGATATTGTGCATGAAAAAGTTTAATTTGATTATACCGATTGTTGACATATATAATATATATTAGTTTCTTAAATTATTCGTTTTATGGATGCTTTCTGTGAGTAACATTTCATTTATTACTATTATACTTATATAAATAAACGAATGGATGAATCCTGATTTCAAAAAAGTGATTTGCATGTCACAAACTGATCATTCTTGATAACTACTTGTAGTAGAATCTGAAAAAATATTTGCTCCAGCTTAGGATCTGCATTTTGCTAAATAATGTAGTGTTCAGTAAATCACTGGCTGAAAGCATATTGTCCTATATCTCCCATCATTACAAAAGACTCCACTAAGTCACACTTGAAACTTCCTATTAGCTCATCTATATTCTTGGTAGAGTCTATACTTTGCTAATTGTAAGTTTTGTAACAATAAAATGAGCACCTAGATCTTAATGAGTAAGTAATTATAATTCTGTAAGGAATCTATTGATCTGCGTAGATTTTGAGATTCAATGAGTTAAGAGGTTAATTTGTACATAAATTGCAGCGGATGATTATATAATACATACTCTAAATACTAAGAGCTTCTAGTTTGATATCCGATTTGTTACAGAAGAACTGTGAGCATCCAACTGAATACTATCCAGTTGAACTTGTTGATATTGTAGTGAGTCATTCAATGTCTAGCTCACATAACTTGTCCCACTTGTCTTTTAACATTGTCACTCATTCGTCGCTTGTATTCATGTGTGTGCATGCCTACTCGATTACTACATTTCTGTCTAATTTTTGTCTGACTATAAATTCTTAGTCATTCTTTATCCCTTGGAGTTGGCTCACTAGCCTTCTCCCATTCGCCGCATCAATTCATTCGCACATTCGTCCGCTAGCGTGCCTGCCCTGTCTGCTTGTGCTCCGCTGTCCAATTTTTTGGTGTGCTACGAATAAACGAATTCGACACTTCGTGTTTGCCTTCTGATTTATAACTGTCAGACGTTATTTGGTGCTGATTGCCTAGACGAGTGGATTACTAAGATTAAGAACATGTTGTAATTGGCCACCACAATATAATATAACCCATTTATAATTTATATTGATATTTATAAATTCGTACATCAATAGTTTGTCAAGTAATTACAATTGAAGGATGGAAAATAAGCCTAATCAGACCAACAACCCATTCACTTAATATTAATAACAATTCATCGTAAAGTAGTAGATTAATATGGGGAAGCAATTCTTTAGGCGAAGTAATTAATCGAAAATATGTGTAGAATATGAGCAGAATAATAATACTGAGATTAGGTTAACACCATATTAGACTAATATATTGTTGTAAAATAACAGTTAATAAGTTCTAAGCCTATATGTTATTCAACTCTGTGAATCATTTATAATGAACTGAATTGAACCTCTTCAAAGTTTAAAAGAGTACACAAGTCCTTACTAGTTGTGTGACAGAACAAAAGAATTATTCATAATCATATTTATTACCTATTGATCGTCTGTAAACTCAGTTATTGAAAAATATGAAAAAAAGTTCTAACGATTAAACAACAAATAGTCTTAATAACGAGATAAGTGTTGTTTTCTTTAAAAAACTAATGTGTGAACCAATACTTTAAATAAGATTCTACATAATCATAAGAAGATGAGGGTGAATTTTTATTTTCATAAATTTTGATTGTTTTCTTTGTTTATTTATATAAACATTGAATCCAAAGTATCATAAATGAAGAATTTATGACAATCGATTTTTATATGGATTTATTGAGAGTAAATAGATTTGTCATAATTGTGATACTTTAAAATGAAATGTAATTTTTTTTTTCAAAATGACCTTCCGATGTAAATGTTTGATTTTGAGCATTGATTCAATAAAAGCCAAGATTCGAATCAAGATTAAGAATTTATAAGATTCATGTTTCTTGTCGAATCAGTTAAAAATTAATTGACTTGATCTTGACAATTTTGAAACATATGAAGGCCATCAAATATTTTTGAAATTATAATCTAGATGAAATGTAATGAACTAATTAGATATTTACTCAATTGTCAATACTATATTTTATATTTATAGATAAGAAACGAACGATGTACACAATTACCTGGTGGCAGTTTTCTCTTAGGTCTTACTGGATCGTATGCATATGAGACCGTGACATTCAGTGTTCCTGTTGGCTACAATATTCTTCAATGGTATTTGTTTGTTGAAAATGTATATATACAACAATTATATGGATTAAAAGATCCTGAATTACATATTAAAGAAATTCGTCTAACTGGGACCCCACCAGTGACTACATGCACTCCATGTACAGCTGGCACTTTTGGATCAAGAGAAAAAGCTGATCATTGTGAGTTATGTCCAAGAGATACTTATTCATCTGCAGGAGCTACATCATGTCAACCATGTCCACCAGATCAATATTCAGGTATTGTTAATTATGGATGATGATGTTTGTCTTGTCAGTCCGTTTTTTAGAAATGACTAATTTTATTTCCTTATAAAGTCAAGCAGATCACCGTTGAGTTTTAAAACTACTGAAAGTCATGAAATACAATCATATATTATAAACATTCCAAGTTAAAATTAGATTAGAATTTTACAAAAAACTAAAGCTTCTATAAGCGTAAATAAATAATTTTTACTTATATACAATGGTTATTGGTTGAGAAGTGATTTCTAGGTCGGCCTAATATTATTGGTTACCAGAAAAAAGGAAAGGAATGTTGGGGATGTTAGATCCCCAAAACTTGCTTGATAAATGCCTTATTTTGGATTTCACGTTTGCGCACATGGGCTGATCAGTTAACCTTGAGATTCCAATTCCCACCAGGAAAATCCTTGGCTGTGATTGGTTGCTGTGTATTTCAGTGTGCTATTTTCGTAACTGTCCCAAGGACGTTTCTATGATGTATAAATAAACAAGAGTTGTGTGCTTGATGGTATTATGATTGCTGGGTGTTTGTAGAATATACATTCTACGCTTACGAAACCTTCTGTTTACAGCTTGAGATTCAAGGTAGCCTATCTGGTCGCTGGAAATAGTCTCGTTCGCGTTTATCGACTAAGGTGAACTCCTAATAGCTTCAAGCCTACTTAGTGACGAACATAACAAGGAATAATTAATTGTCCGCATACATTGTATTTAGTTTCTGAAATTGATTCGATTTAAAAATACTTTTTTTTCGATTTCATTCATCATGAACTGAAAACTAAAGAAAACTCAATAATTGTTTGTTCAGTTTGTATTGCCACTGCAAGTATAAACATCCATGTCTTCACAGAATCATCAGTAAAACTTTAAATTCTAACGATGAGTGCGTTTTCTATGGAAAGTTTTGTATTGATGAAAATGGCAATAAGAATAGGCTCACATAATTTCGCTCCGATTCTTTCAATATCAGATAAGTGTGTCATAGTGGAACGGTTGTTAAGTAGTACAGGATTTGCCTTTCAGATACCAAATAGCTGGTTGAAACTCGGTCAAAACTTGAACGGTTTTAGGAACTGGGGAATATCACCAACTCTCCTGCTTCTAGTTGAGATCAAAACGATGTACAGAGAGTTGTATCTGGTCATTACAGTGATGTTTATGGAAAATATTATGTCAACTCTTGCACCGGCAACAACTAGTCGGTATTAGATTTTTCGTCTCTTTAACAAAACGAAAAGAATCTCATTAATTTCCCTTAAATAGTCTATAATCGAATCATGTTCATTTTTCTCGTACATGAATAAAAAAAAATAATAAACGGAATATTCACTTGCAAATACCGCTCGTCTTATTTGGTAGTCCATTTAAAAAGTATTTTTAAAATGAATATGACAGTTAAATTGTAGAACTCTCGAGACGGTACATTTATTATTGAAACATTAAGTAAAATTTGTTTTACAGTTGATAAACGGAATTCACTATTCTCATTTACCTACATCCTAGTGTTGATCATATTACCTGTACTCGGACTAGGTACTTCTGACTTAAAATACTTATCTACTGAATCCAAACAGTCAAATGTCCAGTAATCTATAGTCTTATTCAAAGCATATACTTTTTGACTGTAAGTATTTGAACCTACTGTTATTGTTATTAATGACTGCAATAATCATCATCTACTTTCGGAATATGTGCATTTTCAGTTGCTTGGCTAAAGATTACGGTCCTCAATAACCATTACATGGAATATCGAATCCTTTGTAAATCGAAGTAAACTATTCAAAAACAGACCAGAGATATTTAAATCAATAGTGTTAATATCAAAATCGAGATTTAAAAATAATTTTCAAAAATATAAAATAACCTATAAGAATTATGTATGCTTGTCTTCTTTGTCTCCAATTATTTATTGATGACTCTGTTTAACAATATGATGGACATCAGACTGGTAGTAAGTGCTATTTACCATCATTATGTTAAATGAACATGTACAAACATGTTTGAATGAATGCATAAACTTGACTAATCGAGTTCTTATTCTAGGTAGTTAACAATGACAAACATATAAATGATGAAGTTATGTATGTGTATACAAGTGTGTCTTATAACTCAATCAAAGTTTTAAACTAATTACAGCTATATTGATCATTAATTAGAACAGAAAAAGATAGATCAATTCCTCTGGGATACTCTTAATTCATGTAATTATCGAACTCGGCATAACTCGACTGTACATTCACTCCTCCACTCATTAATTAAATTCAGTTGTAATGTTATTTTTTGGTACTACAGAAGTGGAATGATATCATTTTCTAACTGAGCTATTTATATATAACTATCATGTAGTTAAACAATTGCACTCAATAGAAATTTATTTATTATTTTTACAAGTTGATAAAAAATCTCATGTAATAAAATTTGACCTAAATTATTCAATGTTAATCATTAGGAATCCTATTTAAGTTGGTTATTGTTTACAATTATCACTAGTCAGTGCAGAGTTACTTGTTTTTATGAGACAGTTTATGAGGAGAAACGCATATAAATTAAATAAAGAGCTACCTTTACAGTTGAGCTTTAATCTCGATCCTGATATTTGTCTTCATGTAAAAAGATGATTTGTGAAATCAACCTAAAAGAAATACTGAAAAATTACGTAGCGTAGGAAATAAATAAATGAACCTTATCAGACAAAATCAATCAAAATATTATTCTTAAGAAGATTTAGATCGTAAATCGATGAAACTGTAAGAACTCGAGCAAAAATCATTTAGGTAATGAATTATCTTATTCATGTTGGATTACGATGCTTATAATTACTGAGAACGCCTTCCAAAATTTAGGAATTCTAGTAACTTTTCACCTTACTTTTCCCTACAATCAACCGCACTTGTTAAAAGTTTCGTGTTACTAGATTGATGAGAACTGGCACAAAAATGCTTTCCTTTTAACAGATTTAAGCCACTTAAAGTTAAACCACATTCAATGTGATATACATTTACTTTAACTTGTTGTTACTTTGCGACATAATCAATAAGCTGGACAAACGTGATATTAGATACTATTAAGTTTTAATCTAAAACTCCTTTATCTATCAAGATTCCAAATAAACGCAACTATGTGTAGGTCGCATGTACTTAACTTTAAGCTGTAATATACACATGAGGTCTAATGACATTGTTAGAGTACCCACACTAACATTGGTGTAGTAGGACTCAAACTTAGAAAACTAAGTCCACTAATCAACTACGTCATCACTTCAATCTTCAGCTAATCAAACAAAACATTGATATTCATCAAATCAATATAATTACAGAAATCTTGTTTGGTCTATTTTAAATAACTATCTATTAAAACCTATTGATAATCTACTTTTCTATACTTAATAGACAATTCTTTTGTTATTTCGCCAAGTGTTTAATTTTATCGATTTAAAATTATTTTATCAGAGATATACAACTATTGACATCTTTTCTTTCAAATGATTCAATGTTCATTGTAAAGCTTTCCAAAATTATGTATACATAGATAGCTAGTTTAAAAAAACATTGTCTAGCATTTACAAATCGTAGATGCAATTGAAAACATGGCAAGTGATTATTATTATTATTATTCGTTAATGAAAATAGTAAAAACAGAAAGTCACTGAATAAATATGATCATTTGTAGTAAGAAGAGGTATTTTATGCATGTTTCTGTCCGTTTTAAATGATTTTCTGGAATTTTCAACTAGTTTTCAACTAGTTTATGAAATTTTTATGCATATTGTATGCAAAAATCTAACTGAAGAATATTTTACTTCAGAACTGTAAATTCTTAAGTAAACATTGAATAATTTAGTAAGTAAGCTCCGATTATTACCGATTCATAATTTAATTCAAAGCCCTAAGGGAGTTACTCGATTTTAGTGCAAACTGATTTATATGCGGAGTTGGAGAGTTACACTATTTTTATCACCGAGTATATAAGTGTCGAATTATCTAAACCTACAATCTAAAACAAGGAAATCAGCTGTGATATCATGAAGTCATTGATTCACAAATTCTAAGAAAAGTTTGAAAACTTTTTTAGTAGATAGAATTGTTTTTAAAGTTTGCTTTTTTTTACCACAACATCAACTGACAGATGCATTTAAAAAAAGTAGATTTTAAACTTTATATAAAACTGGAGATAATTTCTATTTTATTTACTCTGAGGTCATTGAGTAAGTTCGTAGTGAAAAATATAAAATATAACAAATCGATCGTGTTATTAAGGTTAACTTCTACAAACAAACAAATGTCACGGTAAAATTTTGTAGATATTAGATAAATAAACAGGACTTCACGACTAATGCAAAAGAAGTTATTTATTATCAGTAAGGGTTGAGTTTAGATATTCATATAACTTAGATTTACTTCATCTCATCACTACTCAAATAAACTCGTTGAATTAATGAACTGTTGTATGTTCACTGTCGGAGCTAAGAAAAGTTCAAGTTTCTGTTTTTCTAATGATGAACAGTCAAAACTTAGTTGATAATCGGTTTTACTTATCGAGCATTGAAACTCAAGAAAAACACAAATAAAATTAAAAGGCTAAAATTCCAGTTTATTTGTTCACCTATGATATATACATTCTTAGGTTTTGTGACGGTTCAAGACATTGTTTTCCTATTGATTAATTGGTCTAACGGTTTGCTAATTTTTTACCACGATTCCAAGGTATATATATGAGCTAATAGTGAGGCTAGAATTTATTGGCGAACCAATCAGATTTACGATAAGGAATTTTGCATTTTGATGCAAAATTCATTCTTATGAAGTTTAAATACTCATTATTTTTTAAAACTTGTCAGCTATAATAATGATAACTTGAAAATAAGTTGTTTACCGCTAATGAACCGACATCATTTTAAGTTGACAGAAGTCTTAGGCAAAGAATGACGTCATTTATATTGATTTTATTTCTCTATGAAATAGCCGATAACGGGACTATCTTTTATGATAAAACTAGCCATTAGGTATGTGAAAAATTACTTAGAAATTAAACCATTTTTATTGAAAGAGAGTAAAGCGGTTGTCTTGTTATTTTATTCTCAATACTTATTAAACTCAATGAATAAATGATAATGTATCGTTGAGATTAGGCATAACTATTTTTGATTGATTTTCACTGTTTTACTTTCTAATGATAAAAGGTAATGGATCTTCAAGTTGCACTCCACGTCCTCCATGTAAGAAAGATGATTATACAAGTTATTGGACATCGTGTGATCATCAGCAAATGGTAAGTTGATTTGAAGTTAAACACTTTTTTTTTCAGTGACCACTGTCAATCAAATGTACATTTTTTTATGGGGATTATATATTGAGTGATAAGTTAATTAATTTCGTTCGGTATATCGATTCTAACAAACTTTAAACTGGTTAATCAAAAAATTTTTCGATTTTTCATGCATTATATACCATCAGCTTTGATAATGAGTTAGAAACTGTTTGATACAATTCTTAGGCTTTCATCATTGCTACTACTTTCAGCTTAGTAACCTCATGTTCATTCATCTCTGCTTATCTTCAAATATAATTTTCCTCTCAACACTTATTATATTCGTTCTTATTTTCATCTAAATCTTTTACTTAAACTACCAGTCAGTTTTGTTGTGTCTGCGTTGTCCTACATAAACGAGTATTATTCTGAATATAAATCACTTTCTTTCTCTATGTTGATATTAAGAAGAAAAATTAAGTTTGAAAAATCAGCTTTTACAATTTCAGTGAACTTTAATTATTGCGTGGAAAAACAACTCTTCAGTCACTCGTCCAAATTTATTGATTTGCACATCTTCGTCATAACGCCATTTACACATTTTTGAAACCATGAATCGATCAATGTTAGACCACCATTAGAAACCTGGAAGCACTGGACGGCACTGGACGGCACTGCTGAGGAGTCCCATACCAGGACGAAACGGCCGTCCAGTGCTTCCAGGATTCTAATGATGGTCTAACATTGATCGATTCATGGTTTCAAAAATGTGTAACTTAACAATCTTCACAACCCCGTAATGCAAATAACGCCATTTGTCGTTACATTTTGAAGAGCCAGTTTGAAAGCATCAAAGGCTTATATTTGTTCACTCTCTCTCGTTTTATCATTTTTCACTGATTAAATATCACACTACTGATTAATATTATAGATAAAAACTTTTTTGTGTGTGTTAATTAAGGGTGTACCTGTGAAACTTTAGGCTGTTGTAACGGCGATTATTTTATCCTGGAAAATTTGTACATGTTTACCTATACCATACTATTTGTCAAAATAATCAAAGTTTTCAAACGCTGAATGATGTAAGCACATATAATCTAATGAATAGTAATTAGTTTGTTTAGTAAATTATATTACAGTTAAAATACAATATTTTATCTTTTTTTTATATTGTTCATCAGAACAAAGATGTGAACTGACTTTTTTTGTTCAATAAATAAATTACAAACTTCGGTTTTTAATCGTACTTTTTTTTGACACGAATAGGCGTCTGTAAACGAAGTCACTTCCCTTTAATGTTTTCTTTAAACCATTGATCAAACAAACTATAATTTATTCGCTAGGTACATTTGCACAATTATGTTGTATTTTAAACAGATATTTAAATATTACTATATATAAGTGAAGCTAGTTGTTTCATTTTCGGAATTAGGTATAAATATTTCATTTAAAAAATAATTGTTGACAATGTGTGTCGTATGATCGTTGTCAGTAAATGTCTTGTAGAAGCATGAAATTAGAACTTTATTCAATAATTTTAAATTATTTCATTTGGCAAGTAGATAGTTTAATTGATCAAATAATCTTATCTTTATATTACTCGGATAGATCACATACATTAATCATTTACTGAATAGTAACTATTCTTCTGAGATGGTGGTGAAAATTTGTAACTCAGGTGGATGATTGTGGTGGAGCTTTTTTCTCTGAGATGGATGTTTTGGTTGTTGTGCTTTCATTGTTCTTCTGAACAACATCATCAGCACAAACTTCAAATAGATGTGAAGTATTCGAAGTTCTCCAAATATGACCTATAGCTTGTCCTGTTAACCTCGAGTTTGATTGGTTCTTGTCATTTCTTGTCAGCCTTAACCTGTCGTTGTTTGCATCTTTATTTCGATTGTATCCCCCTTTGATCTGTTTCTTGATGCTATGTTTGTCTATGATTTTTCTGACTGGTTTATAAGTTGGGTCAATGTTGATGTGTATGTTGATTGCTGATTGACCTGAATGCTGAGTTTCTAAAAACTCCCTAATGTTCTTTGTGTTTCCTCTATCCAGTATCTCGACATTGTTCTGATGTCTGTATGTGTTGATATAAGAGAAGAATTGTCATGTCGCTTAATCGCTAACTGATGTTCACACAGACGAAGCTGAAGAGGATGTCCGCTTAGTACTGTGTAGTATTTTTCACAGTCTGAGATTGTTTGCTTTCTGTTCACTAAACTAACTGGCTGAACATGTTAATAGTGATAGATCCATAGATCATTACTCGCTTCTAGTTAGTAATCACTTCATATTAAGTCTAAATGTTATTTTTAATTAGCGGTACTTGGTTAACAGGAATAAATTGCATTATCCTTCAAGCTAGGTCATTTCACTTCAGTCAAAACCAGTTGAAATTAGATAGGATGAGACATTGAATTTTTATTCATTAAACTGAGGTAATGAAGGTTGGAAGATTGCATTTGTCTACGAATGTAATCACCAGAGTTAAACAGAAATCAGTAAATGTTATTTCTATCTAGTTACTGGTCATCATAATAGTTCTTCTCAATATGTTGTTTAAACAAATGTAATTCAACAACTTTTAGTTTTAGAATTAAATAACAAAACCTTCCGTCTCGTTATTTCCCTCAAGGGTTTATGTTTTCTTCGAATTAATACTTTGGACTGTATTTATCAACCTTCCATGATTAATGAACTTCTTGAATGAAGTGTCTGAATATTATCCTAATTTGTCTATATTTTCGTCAGTGGTTAGTCATGTAGTTGCATTTATTGATCAGGATATTGGTTACTAGGATTCAGAAGCCTAGTAAAATAACATTATGGTGTTCAAATTAACATTTACTTAGTACGAGTCTAATCACTGAGATTTAGGCACATCTGACTGATAAGTCCCAAATAATCAAGTCATAAATTTTACTACTCTACACAATTTACTTTGCATTACGGGGTTGTGAAGATTGTTAAGTTACACATTTTTGAAACCATGAATCGATCAATGTTATACCATCATTAGAAACCTGGAAGCACTGGACGTCCATTTCGTCCTGGTATGAGACTCATCAGCAGTGCGCATCCACGACTCCTGCACCTCACAGGACTCGAACCCAGGACCTTCGGTACTGCGCGAACACTTAGCCTCTGGACTACTGAGTCGGTATCTAACGGTTTTAATGTCGAACTTGATCAATTCACGGAGTTGTGCAACCTCATACACAGTCTTCGGTAGTTACTGCATACACCTGAACAGATTGAACTTCACTGGTCACCAATTCCAACTATTTAATTTGAATAATTGATTTTATCAAGGTTCGAAACTTAGAGCATGATGATATTGTTTATTTTAATAATCATTATTATCATAGTGTTTATTCTTTTTCTCATACGAGATTGATTTCCAATTAAACTTTATTTGATAAAATAAATTAGACTTTTTACATGTATGGGTATGTTTTCTTCTCTTGTTGTTGTTTGTTGTGATTGTTTGTAGACACAACGTAAATGGAAATGGATTGAACCAAAAATATGCGATGAAACTAGTGGTGTCTCATTACCAAACGCAGAGAATCCAGTAGAATGTCATAAGTGTCCAACTGGCACTTTTCCATTAGATGGTAATACATGTGAATTATGCTCAATCGGTATGAAGAAACAATTGTCAAATTTAGAAACTTGTGTTACATGTCCAACAAATGAAATTCCAATGTATGGTTTACGTTTTGATAACTGGTATCGTATGCCGTCCATATTGAAATTGGATTGTTTGAATTTCTTTGGTAAGTTGTTAATACAAAAGAATAAATTCTTGTTTTCAGTCTAAATATAACAGTGAAAAATAGTCTGTTTATCTTAAGTTAGGAAAGGGTCTACTGGAATCAACTGCTAGCATCTTTGGTAAGTGAACAAGGTGTACTCAGAGAGTTTTAGCAATAGACAATCAATCGGAAAATGCGTTCATTTGATGGCTCGTTGAGCTATTAAACTAATAATCAGTCTTTTTGACACCAATTAAATACACTTTACTTGTGAATAAGTCAAAAAAGGCCAGGATTTCTTCAGCTTGATAAGTATAAATCCCTAAATACTATGTTATGTAGTTGCTGGGACTTACCAATCATTCATGTTCGGCTTAGTTATTATTTGAATCAGCATTATTCATATTGAGGTGTGAGTATTCAATGTTGAAAATTTATTGTTTGCATAAAATGATGTTCAGAATTAGGGTTACTTGATCATGATGCTTGTTCATAAACTCACTGGATTATAAGGGGAATCTATTAGATTTTAGTTGTATAAATCGTTTAAACAGTGGTTGAACTTTTTACTAAACTAAATTAGAAATATTGACACAGTCGAAAATCCAAACAAAATGAATTGTATTGTTTTCAATTAGGCTCCCATCAGATTCTGACTCACTTTATGTTTAATACATGATCTTAAGATAGTGGATTCGATTTTATGTTACTCCGTTTGACAGAACCCGCATTGAGAAGACACAAATTAGCAAGTGAATGATTGTAATGTTTATTTGTTTTTTGTATTACTTCTTTAGTTGACTAAGGAATGTCATGAAAATTATTTCTAATAATATTTTGAATATTTAAGTGTTTTCTTTTAACAGAGTGAGAAGTGTATTTCTTTAAAAAAAATATGTGTATAGTATGAATAGAAAAGTAAAGTAAGAAATCAAGCGAAATGATTTACTTAAAATGCTTGATTGCAAGTACTCCATGACTAAAAATTATTCCCTAGAGTAATGTGCACTAGAATAGAACTTTTATGAAATGATCTTTACCTCTTGTTTCAGTCAATTGTGAGTTATTTTGAGGCAGAGTTTTGGAGGTTTATGTTTTTACGCATTTGAAATTAGGCGTTCGCGCACAATACCGAAGGTCCCGGGTTCGAGTCCTGCGAGGAGCAGGAGTCGTGGTTGCGCACTGCTGATGAGTCCCATACCAGGATGAAACGGCCGTCCAGTGCTTCCAGGTTTCTAATGGTGGTCTAACGATGATTGATTGATGATTTCAATCGTGAATTAAACAACTTTATTTTTAGTATCTAATGCATGGAAGATATCGTTAAAATTTTACTGTTTTTGATAGTTGATTAGGATTTGTATAACCTATTCCTTTTAAACAAGAGCAAAAGCTTTACACGGTTACATTTTCAGCAGATATCTTGTCAAGTAACGCTGGCAGTTAATTGTTTCAGTGCATGAAGTTGCTTGATGTTAACAGGGATTATCCTCTCTATCGATCAGAATATATGCCAACATGAATGATTATATCATACTAATAAGTGTATTATCATTCGGTGTTACCTATTAAAGAACAGACAAATTTTAGAAGTATATACTACTTACAAGTAATGTCAATTCGTTGATTCAGTGTAAATTGAAACTCGTTCGTAAACCCAATCAACAAAAGTTTAACAGTTTAACTACATGCAAATTATGTCAAGATTTTAGCCAAAAATTTTATTTCATCAACTGAATTCACCTTAAACTTTGTATTGATGACCATCACAAATCTCGAAATGAATTTTGATCTCTTCAAATTCTAATGAGTAACAAATACTGTGTGAGGGCTTGTGTATTCATGGTCGACTGTGGCAAGTGATACCAACAGTGCAAAGGACAATCTCAAACAAATTAAGTGATCATTTATTATTTTTTTTTAATGTGCATCAACCAATCTTAATTGTCGACCTTTTTTTTCTAAGGTGCTAAATGTAATACATGGGAACGTGATTTGACATCATTACGTGGTGGAGTTGGCATGCATTCCGATGAAGTGGCAACATTGGAATTACCAATTACTAATGGTTTTATTACAGCCTCATCAGTTGATTCAACTGATCAATATTATTTTTATTTTCAACCACCTATTTCTAATACATTTGTACGTATTGAATTCCAGTTAAATTGTAATGGTCGATGTCAGTTTTCAATGAAACAAGTAAGCTGTTTACTCTTTTTGTAATATTCCAGTTGTAATAAATATGGATGACAGAAGAGTTTTATGAAAACGAAATAAGAGTATAAGTTAGCATAAAACGTCAATTTGTTTACTTATTCAATTCATGAACATGAATATTGGTAAACTTTTCAATTTTGTTTGGTTCGATGCTGAGTGTTTGAAGTTTGCTTCTTACTATAAATGCTTCAATATGGATTTTGTCAAAAATCTTTTTTCGTAAAACTTTCTGCAAAGTCAAGTTCCAAGTTAAAATATTTTGACACTTGGAACTGTTCAGATTTTGTAGAAAGAATGTCAGATACAACGAGTTGTTTAAGACTGTTACTTAAATTTATTAAATAACAAAAAGAGCTGCACGGTTCAGGTAGTTCTTTTATCTTAGTATGGGACTCCTCGGCAGTGCCCAACCTGGACTTACCAGGATTTGAATGCAGAACCCTCAAATCTCTTACCAAGTATTTATCCCTCAGACTATTGGATTGTTACCTGAGGTAATTCCTAACGTTGTGCAGAAGTTAGCCAATGTCACTAACGGTACTGATCTCTGAATGAATTTTTTTTCGAATTCCATCACCTTTGAAAGAGTTGTAATTAGTAGAATGACATTTTATGAACAATGCTCACTTATGATGTAATTTCATAAAAGTTAAGTTTGTGAATAGTCAGTTACGAACCATATGATATCAGTACTCACATCATCTGGCTTGGTTATTTCGAATCAGCCGGATCTGAAGACAAGATAGGTTTAATTACCGGAAAAGCACTATCGATACAACTTGTAAATATGGTCGTTCCATGTAGTGAACCTGAATCTTAGTACTATTCTTGATTGCGATGAAAAAATTGAATTTTTCATGTTATTTAGAAAAGAGTTTAAAATTACTATTCAATAGTCAATTACTATTTTTCCATGGTATGTTTTAGTTTTATTGTTTTAAAGTTGTTAAGCAACAGTGATGTTAAAAAAAGGACATCCGTGTTATTGATTTGTTAATTTACAATTCACTGCTCAGTGACCATAACAATAATACTCATTGTTTATTCATATAAATGTCCTTATTTTGTTTGTGTTTAGTTAATATTGCTCACGGATACTTGACATTTAAATAGTCTCTTCAACAGGTTTTTTTGGTCATTATAATGAAGATTTATTTTATAAGTGCTAATTTACATACTATACGACACGAATGAGAATTCATGTTGATAATGAACAAATATAATTGAGATTAATACTGTGTGATATTTTCTGAATAGTATATTATATTCAGTTTGAGAATAATCATTATAGCTCATAGACAAAGGGAGCTTCAATGTGTCATAACATATGATGTGTTATCGTTATTTATCAATGACAACTGACTAGGCAGGTAGATTCTTTCAGTAATTGTTAATAATAGTTTTAACTAAACCTGAATTGACGGACATTATGGAATCATATCGTTTATTTTGTATAAAGCGAAAAGAAAAAATTATTCAATGAACATGAACTCTGTCATCTTGACTATTCACAAGTCGATATATAAAAATGTAATGTGGACAATGTTTCGTTCTACTTAGGACTTGTCAGCTAGATGTATCTGCACTTCGGAGTTGATATTTTCTCCGGTACTCAGACCCGTTGATATTGTTGAATGTTAGTTGGTTGTTATTGACTTTCTCAGTAGGTTTAGTTTTTATGACACAAATATCCCTTCAAAATATCTACAAAACGTTTATTACATAGCTGTCTAATTAAAGCTAATCTGGGATAGCTTTAGGTTTGTATTTATTTTTCTTACTGGGAATGATTATCAATTTTTTTCATTGAGGTTTTTATGGCCGGCAGTGAACAAACGATTGCTATCTGGGGTGGATCATCGAAACGAATAAATTATACGTAAGTTATTGAAAATTGAGCGGTTAATATCAAGTGTTTTAAATGCGACTATACAGTTCTAGCTAGTATCGTTTTTTGTTGTGTTTAGAGAATGAACATGGATATATATATATATATATATATATATATATATATATATATATATGAAAACTTGGTCTATCGAATAAACACTTCATTGATAGTTTAATTTCATCATATTGTACACACATTACATTATTGTGGTCTATACGTTACGATCTTTCAACGCGTGTTGCACCGAACATGAACATTATACAAAATAATACACTCTTATCAAATTGAATAATTTATTATCATGTTCACAGAGTTCATCTACGTCAACACTTCGGAATCAATCCATTAGGAATTGGTTGCCGACCAGCAGAGTATAATATTTATCATGATCTGACGGTAACGATTCTAATTAAAGCAGCTGATCACATTGTAAATTTCTATGTGAATGAACTATTTAGTTTTCAATCTTTCTATAATAAGTGTATAATAAGTGATATCACACTAGTAAAAATTTTATTGGAGATTATAACATTTGCATAGCTTTTTAAATCACGAACTTAGACCGCCACTGAAAACCTGGAAGGACTAGACCGCTGTTTCATCTTAGTTTGATAGTGCATATCCACATACCCACACTCGTATATGAAACACAGCTCCTTCAATCTTGCTTATGGACGCTTAACCTCTAGACCACTGAGCCAGCATCGAACGATTTTAAAGTCTACCCTGTATCAATTCACAATGTTATACAACCATTTCCCTTTATTCGAGGTAGATAACTGTCTCCAGTCAACATGGTTTAACCCCACTGGTTAAGGCTTTTTACTGGAAGCGTTTTTCTGAAAGTAAGACGTTTTTATAGAAGCAATAATAATGATAATAATTTATGTCGTTTAACTACGGAAGCATTATATTTATAAATTTGAATCCAATTAGTTTGCAATTTATTTTGATCCTCAAAAAGTGTTAACACCGTTAATGTACGAATAGTGATCAATTTCAATGTTATTGAAGCATACTGGTTGGTTGTATTTGTTCACTGAATGGAATTTGGTAAATTTTTCATTTGACAACTGAAAATTATTGCCATGATTAATATACTGGGCAATTATTTCTATTTAGTTTATTAATGTTGTGAAAGCCTCATTTTGAAGATTGTACGTGAAATGTAATTTACACAAAGTTTAATCATGATACTATTTGATTACGATAATCTTCAAGAATAAATCTTGTTTTAAATGTATGCATTAATAGCTGGAAATTACATATACATTTAATCATTTTAAACATGTCTTGAAACTACTTTCAAGTAGTATGTAGTTGTTGTAAATTATGAGTGTGTTTATGAATTAATTTTTTATTTTATAACTTATTTCTTTTTGCAATTATTATAACTGATCAGGTATTATGTAAACGATGCGAGTGAAGTCACATTTAAGTGGGTTTTCGAGAAACCTGGTTCACCAATCCAAATACAAGATCACGTGGACATTTATCGAATCGAAGTAACGAATGTGAAAAATGATAATACTATTGGCTGTCAAACATGTGTCAGAGGAATTGTGAATGGAAAGTACGTAAACACCATGTTTAATAAATCGAACAATATTTGTGTTATTTATTGTTTCGCTTTAGTTTAAGAGGAAAAACGAGATTGTTTTGTAACACCGTGCTACTACAACTTAGTCGATAGAATTCAGTCGGTACATTGGTCACTAGCCAGTGATCGGTTAGTTATAAATCAATGGATGCTTTTCGCTTGGAATTGGTAGCATTTATAATTGGGATTATTTGTATTCTTGTGATAAAATAACGTGAGTGAACAAGATAAACTTTCAAAAATTCTGGAATACTAATCAAATTTTGCAATAACTGTAGAGTGGATGAAAAAATGTAGTCTACAAGTATAATATTATAACATTGTCATGGAAGCAGTAGTTGAAAGACTGTACTTAGATGCGTCTGCTTCTTCACGGAAATCTTTTCTTGTCAAAGCTTTACTCTATTTTTCTTATTTGATTTTCTGGTAGATTTGTGTTAAGCCTAAGAAAGACAGATATTGAATAATCGTCAATTAACTGGCTGTATGTAGTAGTATGGTGTGATTGCAGCACCACACCCAAATATGTATAGTTACAGTCATATTTGTTCAATATTGTTTGATCACTTTAGAGTATTGTAATAATTATTTAACATTTATTGGCATCTTCAAGTGTTTAAACAATCGTTTTTCAAACTGTTTATAAATTTTAATCAATATTCCTGTGGTTGATTTTTTTAAGACCAATCCTGATTAGTCACTAATATGAATTCATGCACATTTAAACGAGATATTTCACAATTTATCACAATGTCAAACACTGGGGGTAACAACATATTATCTGTTGATACTTTAGAGTGATAGAAAACGATTATTCAGCAATCTGTTATGTATATTATGTCATAACAAATATTATTACAACTGAAACCTCAAAGCAACATTTTCACAATTGAACATGAAATGTGACATAATGATCATTGAAAAAGAAAAATAACATGAATGAAGTCTGAAATAATTACAATTTGAATATAAATTTAAGTGGGTTATCTTTTAAAATGTTGCATTGTTATTGTTAGTGTTGAGTTATTGTTTACTTGTGACAAAGTAGGGTTACACTGAATAAAGCTATCATTGTTATTGATAGGTATTCAGTTAAACTTATCTAAACATTTATCAATAAAAAGTCATTCAAACTTGTTGAGAAACCATTCTTTTTATTCTAATTATTTGTTTACTTATGAAGTAATTGACATAATCTTTCAAAATAAACTTTTTTCAGATTGAATTAAAATTCCTATTATTATTATTATTACCCATTGATATTTGTTCGTTTTTTGTGTTGAAGATTTGTTTTAAATTAACATTATTATTCTTACTAAAACCATGACGACATGTTAGAAAATATCTTTGCAAAAGTCATAAATCTTTACAAAAAATTGCCTAGATTAATTTTTTGAAACCTAATTTTTATGTTACTAATGTGTGGCGCATTTTCAAAACAAATGAATTAAGATATTTACGTTGGTTGTTTCTTGAGTGAAAGTAGCTTTAGTTCAATGCAATTCGCATCATCAGCTGATTCCGGTTGTCTCTAAACACTTACAAATGTACAATATGACTCGATCGTCCAACGACTGCATTGTTTGGTTGTATAAAAACTAAATAATTTGATGATATTACACATTTTATAAGCTCCTAACTCCTCTATGTGCACTGAATTTCATGCTTGTGCTACCTAAGTATTTAAAATTGGGTAGACATGGCTGTGGTTTCCAGATATTCGTTAATCGGAATCATTTTTCTAAAATCCTTAGTAGTGGTGTTTGATGTGTTTTGCTGCTCATCAAAATAAACTTCATTCTAGTAAATTATACCCGGCTTAATTTATTGATAGTACGGAGTGATATGTTAAGGAATATATATATATATATATATATATATATATATTCATAAATTTAGACATCTGTTTTGTCCTATTTAGGACTCATCCGTTGAATACCTACATTCCAGTGTTGATGTTCACATTGGAACTTGAACGCTTTATTCATGTACTAGGCTTCTAAGTTCAGACAGCCGAACATTTTATTCCTAATAGTTTGTATTATATTGCTGTTTATATTCAGGACTGAGTTTAATCATATTCTCTCTGAACTATATTCCAGTGGAGTCTAGAATAAATGTTTCTTCATATTTAAGATCTGTCGACCATTTTTCAAATACGTTGAAACTTAAATCTGAAATTTTATTCCGAAGAATCTCTTTAGGTTTCACAAATGTTGGTAGACATTATTCAATATAAATCTAAGAATTAATGATCGGGTATTACAACACTTACCGGTTAAGGATTGTTAAACCTCATTACGAGCTTTTATGGTGTAATCCAAATGATTCTAGCTAGAATTAATTTTCATTATTCATAAAATTACGCAGTATCATTTACTATCAATATGAAAATATTTGAGGCTATGAAATAATATTAACCGTATTAATAACAGTTCAAGAATTTCAAAATATTTCATGTAAAAATGCTTAACGACTATTCAGCTCCATACAATAAAACTGTCTAAGCGTTTGTACTGGGAATTCTGACTTCAATGTTGGTTGAGAGTTTTTCTGAGTCCCAGATGTTCTTTGATTGTAGAAATGATGCCCTTCCTTTGCCAACCTGTGCTTTCAAATTAGCGTCAGATCCACCTTGTTTATCACTGATACTATCCAGGTTTATAAAGGATTCCATATCTTCCAAAGTTTCCCCACCATATGTGATTTGGTTGGTGCATGTTCAGTTGGATCAGAAGATCTTACTTTTTCCCTTGTTCATGTTGAAACCTACTGCTACCGAGGCTACTGCTACACCGGTTGTGTTCATCTACATTTGTTGTTGTGTGTGGGATATAAGGGCTGGATCATCTGCAAAGTCTAGATCGTCCAGCTCTATCCCAGCTATCCACTGTATTTCGTGCATCCAATGAGGTTTTAAAGTCTTCATAATCCAGTTGACTGCCAGGAGAAAGAGAAAGAGTGAGAATGAGAAACCTTATATGACACCAGTCTTCACTTGGAAAGAGTATGTGACTATCTTTCTATACACACTATAATATCGACGAAGCCTCTATAGTCTCATCCTGTCCAAGCTATCAAGGAAGTTGATGCATCGTGTTGAGTTTCTTTTAGCTGATCTTTCAACAATAATCGGTAGTATTGCGATTTAGTAGGTACAAGATCTATCCTTACGAAATCCAGGCCGTTGATCTCAAATTCGGGTGTCTACGGAATCTTTTATTCGGTTTAACAACATTCTGTTGAAGACTTTTGCCGGTATTGAGAGAAGGGCGGTGCCTCTATAGTTTTCAAACTTTCTGTGAACTCCTTTCTCCGGTATCTTGATGAGGTGTCTTTATTTCAGGTGTGTTGGTGCTCGTTCTTCCCCCAAATGTTGCTCAAGAGAATGTAGAGTATCTTTTCAGTTATTATTAAGCCTGCTTTCAGTGTCTCACCTGGAGAGTTTTCTGGTACTCCTGCTTTATTGCTCTTGATTCATCTGCTGACAATGCTCTTTTCTTCAAGTGTTGGTGGGTTAACATCAGTTGGAATGTCCGTACTAGCTGCTTCGATGTTGGGGTTGATCTGCTCAGGTATTGTTCGAAGTGTTCTACGCACCAGTTCCTTTGTTCTCTTATGTCACTGACGGGTTTGCATTCCTTGTTCTATCCATGACTATTGGTAAAAAAGAATTCATGATGTTCAATTTATGTGGTAGGCATATTACGCTCAGGTTTTTGAATTATAATTGTTTGTGTATTACTGTTTTGTAAAAAAATAATCAATTGGTTTACATCAAACCTGTATGCATTACAGCCTTAACAATAAATACTTGAGTGAAACATTTTATTGTTATTTTCATTTTGACATATTGGATTAGATTTATCATACTAAATTAGTAACTGTTATACGTGTAGACACTTTGCAAAAAAGTAATATATGCAGTCTATAACATGTAAGCAATATTAGTTAGTATTATACTTCCTTTAATCAAACTGTTTAGGCATTTTTATTCATATTTTTTGATTGATTTCGTAAACATATTAATTAAAACTATTTTATTTTTTTTGAAGACAATCGAATCATACTTATATGCTATTTTAAATTGAAAGAATTGAGTCATTTTTTGGTAATATTTAATTATTATAAATAATCGATTTTACTAGAGCCTACTAATCTCATTAAAAATTCAATAATCTCTCATTTGTTAATAAGAAAGTGAATTGTTGAAATTTTAAGTTGTTGTTTTTTTATTTCAGTTTCTGTCATGTGGCTGATATCAAAAAAAAACTAAACATCAACTACATTCAAGTTTTGAAATGTTAAGCATTTTGTATACACGATTCTGTCAAGGGCACTAACATCAGACCAACAGTTTTAGGAGGCTTGTTGAGATTGTTGAAATTTATATTAATTTTAATCACAGGTTGCTCTGATTTATTTGTCCAGTTTGTTTTCTTATTTTGGATACATTTTTAAGAGTAATCTTCTAGTTTAATTAAATCAGTGGATTGTCTGCTTACATTTCATTTTAAAGGATAAACTTCAAGATTATTATCTTCGTTATGATTTTTATTGTACTATTCATGTCTAATTCAGTCATTTAAGCGGAAATAACATTAGGTACATATTACAAAGGATTAAATTACTGTATTTTTTCCAAAAAGTCTACTCGTTATTAGTTTGAATAGAGGTTTGTATTACGCAAAAAATCTCACTGACGTCAGATGGAGCTTGATAAATGAATTCCTTACGTAAAATGATTACAATCAGAAATTACTCTCGTCCTCTTAGATCTTGAAATCAAAAAAGTTTTTAATATTTATTTTATTCTTTAAAGTAATTTATTCTTCTAGAATCCTATATTTTATTTTCATAATTTATATCACGTATTGATCCTAGTTAAACAATAATTGAAAACTGGACAAATGGTTCATTGTAATATGGAATTCAAAAGAGAGTTTATCCACGATCTACCATGAAAACCATATGAAAGTGAACCTATGGACTATTAGGCAGACACTGCAATATTGCTATGATACCTCAGGCAGTAAGAGAATCGAAAACAATGAAATATGTTTAGGCAGTTATGCAAATTAATTAAAAGAAGGCATGTACACCATTGGGTTCCGGATTAATGGTCTTAAGGCTGAGTACTCACTGAGAAACTGCAAGTTCATGAGCTCCATCGCTCTGATAGGTTGTGAATAGATACTTGTTAGGAGTACCATATTGGGAAGAGACATCTGTCAGTTACAACTTGTTTGTCAATGAATATCTAAATAAGTTTGGCCAGTGATGTAAACCATGAAAATTGATCAATCTTCACATACTACTATTTTGATTATTGTATCTATTTTCGGAACTCCTACCTGTACACGTAAGAGTTAGATGATGTATTGCTTAGGACTGATTGATTATGTTCAGACAACTTTCAATAAGCCATGCGTTTTCCACTTTATTACTCTCACTTGCTTAAATTGAGCTTTGGAAATGACTCGTATATAATTCTGTCCATTCATATATAAAGCATTTAATCAGTTTTCATCTTTATTTCTTCTGCACTTATTTGCTTTTTTCGCATATCCCGAACACTTTGTACACACCATACTTGTCGTTACATGTTATTTGAAATTAGTACAGCGGACATCTTGAAAATTCACTACTTCCATTAAATTTTTTTTGAATTACTATTTTTTTTTCTCATAGATGTAAAACTTGTCCACCTGGTCTTTACTATTCTATACAATATGATGAGATTAATAAAACCAATATTATCAATTGTACAAAATGTCCAAATAATTCCATTGTAGTAGCTGATGCGTCTAGTTTGCATACAGTTACAGAAGCATGTCATCTATGCGAACCAGGTACAATTGCAGTGAATCATAGTATATGTGTCACTGATACACAACCAATCACAGCATCTGGTTTTCAATATAATTTAACTGATGTAATTGACAGGTAAACATTTTTTTGAAATTATTAGACAACTTTTATTTTTCCTCATTGTTTTTGTTTATCAGTAGTTTTGTTGAAACAAAAAAACTTAATTGAGTAAACACTCTGATAGAGTTGCTGTATTTCTAAGTATGATTTTGTTCTGATGGGATGTGACAATGAATAACATTGTGGCTTTGCATAGTTCCATTCAGTTGATATGCAAGATATGGGACGGAAAGTGTGTTCTGTATTAGTTAATGTGTGAATTATCAACCCTCTATTATTTCTTAATGATAAAGTTAACTTTTCTAGTTCATTGAAAATTGAAATGTTTCCTCTTGTTTTTGTTTTGTCATGGAATGACATGACCATGTGTATTGTTGAAAAACTAACTGCTGATAACATGCTCCTCGCCAAAGTGATATATTCAACAATATTTTGATTTGGATTCAATTATCACGTTATTTTGTTGTTGTTATTGTTGTTGCTTTTTTGTTTTAGAGTACATCTTGTCTCCAGTCCAAAAATGTTTACTCCATCCGGAGCAGGATATTATCATGAATTTCTTATCAGTATGGCATATGGTAAAACAGTTCAATGTATAGAGAATTCTTCATCATATGTAAGTGAATTTCATTCTAGATTTTGGTCAATAATAACATCATATTATAGTTTAGATTATATAGTTTATATATGTATATAAATTGAATTTAATTTAGATATAATTTTTCTCAATAAACCGACATCATTTTGAGAATCAGTAAAAATCAGCAAACAGCAATAAAGAGTTATCTAATTTTGATCTGGAACTTCACCAATTATGTGCGCTAACCAATCAACTTGTCACGAATCGAAATCGCAACTTGCCAGCTTCACACTGAGTAGTTTTTTTTAGTTTGAATGTCATCTTCATGTTGTGTGAAATGAAACCAGTGTTCAAAGAGCTTTTTCTTAACTTTTAATTCGATAAAGAAATCATTATTATAATTACATTCTATTGTATTATGTTCATAAAAGTCATGCTGAAACTAAGCACACACATCACGTATCCACTGTGTAATTAACAGCGACATTTTGTAAAATAATTTATCAAATTTTTATGAAGTTACATATATTTGTTAATACAGGAGTATTTAACAATTTCCAATATTTCATTCATAAATCAACGATGCAAAGAAAAATGAAGATACTGTATACTGATGATGAACTGAAATAAATTTAATTTTAATTTTATGAATCATACAAAATATTTTATTCCATTTTATTTCTGACTGTTCTACTCATATATATATATATATATATATATATATATATATATATATATATATATATATATGTATATAAATAGTTGTCTTTGAATTAGTAAGTTGACTTCTGTGCCCTCTTAACAGAGTGAATCTCCAATAGATTGTAGTTAGGTGTTCATATTTTATTTTTGGTATATTCTATGCTCAATGTTTTTGTTAGCAACCTTAGAAAACGGTCATGAGTAACCTGTTACCATGACATTAATTATTGCCAGTCATAGATCAAATCGAAACAACAGGCATCTAACTATCCTTATAAGGTGATCATAATCTTAATAATAACTGGCCAATCGATGATAAACGCTATGGTGTTTTCTTTATTAATTATTTAAGAATTTAAACCTTATTTTGGAGTGAATTTCCTAGGTGGACTTATCAAAATTGCACTGCGAATCGGTGATTAGTAATAATCAATTGAATGCTTATAGTTCTAAGTTTGTTGATATTTGATAATTCATCAACAAGGTTGTATCTTTACTCGTTTAAGGAACTTCAACTTGTCATAAACATGTTGAGAAATACATTTTCAGATTAAAGAAAAAACATACTGAGTTTTCAAGGTTTATCATATACAAATAATATTTATCAGTATCATATCTTTTGAAATCATGAATAGACCAATGTTAGATCACCTTTAGAAAGCTGGAAATACTGGACGGCCATCTTGTCCTGGTATTCGACTCATCAGTGCGCATCCACAATTCCTGCTACTCGTAGGATTCGATCCCAGTATCTTCGTTCTTGAGTATGAACGCTAAACCTTTGGACCACTAAACCGTCACCTAGCGGTATTAGTGTCTAATTTCGATCAGTCGACGGTCTTGAGCAACCTCATCCACTGTTTTTGGTGAGCACTACTTCACACTCGAACGTGGCTTAAGTCCACTGGTCACGACTTGTCATTAGAACTCGGAGAATCTTCCTCACGTATCTAGTTGCTAATGGATTACCACTGCTGATGGGTCCCATGCAAGGGAGAAACAGCCTTTCAGTGCTTCTAGATTTCTAATGATAGTCTAACAATAATTGATTCGTGATTTCAAAAGTAACTCAACAGTCCACTATCCTATAATTCACATACTATAATACCTTCCAGTTTTTCTACTTGAATAGTTTGTATAATACAGATTATTTGTATATAACTATCAAATCAAATTATAATTTTATCAGTCTTAGTATACAATTTTGTTTTTATAAGTTGGTTTGTTGGATTTTGTATAACTCGAAGATGGTTTTCCACCACAGACTAATATAATATAATATATTTTGTTAAAATATGGGTAGCGTTTTTTGTTTCTGAACATTAAGAACCTTGTACAAGATAATATAATTTCGGCATTCGTTCGATTTTTGTAAATTTATTCAATAATAAATAAGTTGGTGTGACTGTTATTTATCAGTAGTATCTTGTTAGTATGTTAAAATTACTTTCAGTACTTTACAGTATTCAGTGAATATCACAACAGATCTGTTTTTGCTAGTCAATAAGCCAATTTTAGTTGGTTTCCACATGTTTACAAAATTTATGATATTACGTAACGAAAAACACAAATAATATGAAATATTCATACCGAAAGAGTGTAACCAGTCGGCAAGATAAAATAAAAGCTTGGTTCTTGAGGTATACATCTACGATAATTTTCAGTGAAATCCTGTGATATTTATTGCAGACATTTAAAAATGAAACAAAATATATCTTATCTCAAGTGAAAAAGTCATTTTCGATTGATGTATTAGTCTCATATGTTGCCTTTGACCTAATCCAAGTAATTATTTACTAATTAACGTGTTTCACTTGACAGATGGATTATGTTTCATAAACAAACTAGTATATTGTGAAATGAATCAAACTAACAATAGTTATTATACAATAACATTGTCTAAAATGCCAATATCATTTCCAAATCCCTATCAACATCCATTTACGACAAACAATGATCAGAATAATCTCATTGTACATTGATTATCTAACATAATTTACTATACTAGCTGAAGTTGGTTGAAATGTAATGCATATGGAAAGACCAGAATGTTTAGAGTTTCGCTTCTAATGAGGTTCACTGGCTGCATAGTCTTAAACCTGATAGTCAGTAGCTGACCACTTCCTCTTAGTATTCCTTTACGTCTTAGATGATATCATTTCGTGGTTTAAAAAAAGTACTTCGGAATGGAATTTCAGCTCTTTACTTTAATTTTTCTGTTTCACATAACTACTTATATATATATATATATATATATATATATATATATATATATACATAGATATATTTATATCTATACATGTATGTAGTGTGTATACGGAGATACAATCTGATGTCACATGAGTGTAACAAGAAACATTACATTGTTCATCTTTTACAAAAACGAAGCACATAAATACGATTGTTCAATCTTTAAAAAAAATTCTAGACTGCATTTAAATTTATGAGTTAAACAAGCGAAAAATTCATTTGTACATATTACTCATTTAAATCAATGTGGAAAATCACATTCACATTCAGTCACTCAAACATACATTTTGTTTTCTTATACATTCTAAAATGTATTTATCATATGAAAAATTTAAATATTTCAAAATCGATCATTGAATTTGGCGGTAATTTAACCATTATGGTGGTGGTATTTTATGTTGTTGTGTTTTTTTTAATGAATTTAATTTTTTTATTTTCATTCTTCATACGTTGTTTTGTTTAAAAATTTCATTTTATTCTGACGATTCTAATTTCTTTGCAAAATCGACAACTGATTTGTTGTTTGTATATAAATACGTGTTCACATGAATGATGGTTTTGTTATTATGAGTTTTTCCATAAATTTCAACTGACAGGTAAGTTAGTTGAAGAATGCTTTTTACTTTTAAAATCTGCTGACCAATTAATGAATTACAAATCAATACTACATTGTCTAGACCTTATAGTTGATTTGATTTTTTTACTCATTCAAATCTTTAGAATAAATAAAGGGCTAGTTTGTCATATGGAGATTGTTTACAGGAGTCTAGCTCTATATCAAATTTTAACATATATATGTATAGTTTTGGGGCTGACCTGATCCGTTTCTATATTTAAATAAATATACGTTCTATCGTGCATCTTTGATTCCTTAAATTTAGTGAACTTCAGTGAATTCACAAGAGACATATGGTAATTTGAATACATTTAAGTTTATCTGGGTGAAATCGATCGGTTCTTAGTGTATTTACCGTTGGTATACCATTGATTTGTTTAATCCTGCATGAGTTTATCGATGTACGTGAATAGTATTACTTAGATTACCAATTATTTTGAGACCATTTCAATTGTTAAGAGGTTTTTGAACTTAATTCTATCCATAATAATTTCACATTGTAGTTTAAAAAATTTATCTTTTTTTGTTTCTGAAGTGGTTAAGATGTAAAGGTTTTAGAGGATGCATTTCATGGCATTTCTTTATCTATCTATGACAGGTTAAATAACTGAGGAACTTTCATTTTCATTCTGAACAACATCCCCAACGTCTGTTTCAAGCAGAAATGAATTTTATTCAAGTGCTCAATTATTCTGTCTAGTTGATGATGTTCAGGACTCATTATATCCTTAAATTTAGTTTATATCATGTATCTTTCAATTTTCCTTTACTGTTCACCCAAGTGAATCAATACTGACGTATCTACTGACTGATCAAAATATTATGCTTCTAAAAGCTTCTAACTAATCCTAAAATCTCGCTGTTCTAAAATGTGAAAATTTTCCTCACTAAATAATTAATCGTATCATATAGTGTCGTTTCATTACTAGTCTAGATTTCTATCTATTTTGGTGAAAGTTGAATCCACTGTGATAAACGATTATTGTTTATTTTTAGGAATTCAGTAAGGCCATGATCAGTGGGTAAAATAAAACAGGTATTTATTGTGAGCTCTGATAGAATTATAGTGTGTTATTTACACCATTAAAAATATACAACAGTGAGGATAAAAACACTTTCAGTAAGAAGAAACACATGCAAACACTATCAAGTTAATCTTCGATTTCTACCCTCCACATACTACATTCTTATAAAATGATGATGGTTAAGCCTAAACATTCATTTTTCTTCATGCCAGTAAGGCATACCGTAAATTAAGATGTTTCGGATTCCGGAGACAAGTTTCTACTTGCAGAAGGTTGGATACAGATCATTTAAGGTTCGATGCTGGAAACTTACTGTAATCTGTCAGTTATGGATCCATTTCTGGCCATAGATTTACACTATTGAGAATTTCTGAATTTTTACTTAAGTAATGAATTGTCTAATGGCAACCATATTTTAAACTTCATTATATGTATACCAAATAAATAAATAATCAGAACTGGTTCTTTTGATAAATACGTCTAGCTTTCTATAATCAAAGTCTGAATGATAAATGCATGAAATCAATGGTTAGCTGTCTGTAAATCATAGTCTTGCAATCAACTGAATCTTATCAGTGTTGTGTTGATATAATAATTGGTATAATACATACTTCTTCACAGATTGGAACCTACCAACATGTCTTACTTTAGCTTAGTCTATTACTTTGCCTAACAATCCATGCAGACCATAAAAGATTACTTTCATGAATCAGTTTATGTATATGAGGATATGGCTGAGTTGCTATTTAATATTAAGATTAGAAAAATATCCAGAAAAACATTCAAAAGTTTCGACTGGTTTGTTATTAACTTATAACTTTTAACAAGTTAAGGGGAGGTGAGACGGGACGAATCGATACAATGATTATAGTCACATGATTGTGGTACATTAGACTGAGGTTTTCCATATTTGTATCCAATATCAACAGGAACTTAGTTATTTTTTTATTATATTTGATGTCCAATGGGGATTCTATTTTTATATTCATTTAATTTTATTAAAAAATAATTCACATATATGTATATATATTTAGGTACAATTTAGAATATTTTGGGTGTGTACATTGTTCAATATAGTTGGGAGGTTCTATAGCCATCAACTGTTTTTGTTTTAAAATTTGATGCTACATTTGTTTATTATTTTCAGTCACTCATATATAAACATATATGTTATCGTACACGTACAATTATTTAGAATTCATCAGTTGCATTGTATTTATCACTACTTGATGAAATCGGAATTTAACTTTTAGAAGTGAACTACTGAATTCAGTTTCAGACATTTGTAGAACTAACACGTTGCCTAAACAAACAAAGCTGCGGTAGGATTGGAATTTGCAGTCGATTTGTTGAACTGTGACTTCCTTAACCATTAGGGTAGTGTTTACTGATAAAATCACTATTCAACATAGAGCACTAAGATGACATAGTCTATTCGATGGGGACAGTGATTATATGCATTCTTTTAATGACCCTGAAAAAATAATGCAATCACGTTTGAGATGGATTTCCCCGCCTCTGCATGTAAGATCTTGTCTAAAGACCGGTTGGCTTCAGTGCTCAAATTAGTCATAGAGAATGAAACAGTTGATTGTGTTGGCAAACTGCTTTGTTTCGAAAGTCATTATTCTAAAATGGGATAAATTCATGGAGCTGATTTAGCCTTCACAAACTTGAATTAACTGAGACGTAGGTGAGTCAGTTAGTCATTCAGTTACAACGTCGAACTTCGTACATGAGTACATAAGTTCAGGTTGCCATACCGCATCAGCATAGAGACGTAACTATCAGTTCAAATCCCATAGTGGTAGAGATAGTAGAAGTATTAGCAGTTATGGCGAAGATGAGGGTTCGAAGATATGATTCGAGAAGTATAATTCAGTGAGATAACTATGACTGTTTAACAAAGGCTTCAGTTGTCTAGCGAGCTTAAACATGGGTGACTTAGAGATATCAGTCACATTTCGCAGAACAATTAAGTTAGTATATTGAGGTTAGGTGTAGAATGCCAGACCTGTTGATTGTGTTATGAATCTTCAGTAACTGATATTTATAAGTCATGTGTTATGCACGACTAGCTACCACCTTTCTAGGAAAGGAGTAATGGTTCAACTAAAGTTAAATAGAGTTTACGCTATGAGTAGCTAACCAAGACCTGGCTTTATTCCACGATGCTGTTAGCAGTTGTTGCGAAGGATATTGATAGGTACAGACGATCTAGTTGGTATTCATTAGATAAACATGAAATGTAGTCGGAGACGTTGGATAGTATGACTGAGAAATAGTCACGGCGGTGCTAATACACTCATCGTTCATGTTTCTCTAGATCTCAATATTCTTTTGCACGTAACTGTTTGTTTCCTTTTTTGTAACTAAATTTTTAATGTTTATCTTTTATTCTTATCACTAATGCTACGATAATTTCAACTACCCGGTTCACCATTCAGAAAATCCCATCTTTTTGTGCTGTTATGGTATGAGATATAGGACTATCACAAATAGATCCCAGTATCTAGGTTGCTTATAACTGATCGACTAACTGATAAGGCATAAAAACTTTGCTGCGTCTGGAACGAACTCTTCTAACAGACAAAAACACAGTTATTATAAGTCTGTTCGGCTTTGACATTTGGTATGTATACAGTGACATATTAAAAATACTGAGTGTATTCGTTTGTGTATTTGTTTCATCTTGGACTTCTAAACAGAACAAGTCAACGATCCCACCACTGGGGATCAGACACAAGTCCATTTTTCTCTCGAGGGAACGTTAAGCTACCAAACAGTTGATTGTACAATGGTAAACTGATTAAAGCTAGACATATGTAGAATTAGGATGCGGCCTAGTTGCTTAGAGTTTGGGCGCTCGTGCTCAAGAGTGAAGGTTTTGGGTTTAATCTCTGATAAGGTCGTGGATTACAACGGCTGAGCTACATGGTAGGTTTTCAACAAATCGCTTTGGGAAGCCAAAATATTTGGTACAATCTATACACTACTTAATATATGTAAGTAGTACAAATTGTTGCAGATAATTTCATGGGGAAAAATGAAAAAGTTTGGAAATTATACTCTAGTGGTCATAAAGTTTGTGTAACAGGAACAGTAAAATTTGATTTCATGATGATGAACACATTTTTAATGCACATAAGCTAGCGAGTCCTTCATTATGATACGTCCTAATACCAGTCTGACTGACCGAACTTGTTATAGCCTCACGCTAGAACTGATCGTATTGTTGCAATTAGGCACACAATTACGATTAAATTAGAAGATAACAAAGCAAAATTTATCAACAACACTGAATGAGGGTTGCTCTATATTACAATAAAATTGAATAATTTTAAAATAATGAACCGTCGAATTCGTGACTAGCACATGGGACTATCACATTGGTTATTACAGATTTCCCCAATACATTTCATGTTTGATTATTATTTCCATTATCACTATTATTATTATTATTATTATTACTATTATTATTACTATAGCTAATATTATCAAATCAAGAGAAGTTTGAAATGAAGAAACTATGATTTCTCAGTAGTCAATATTTTGAAATACTTATCTGATTGAGTAGATATTAATAGGAAATAATATTTACATTAAATTTTAATAAAATTTAGTACTTTCATTGAATGTCACTTATTGAACAAAGTTAATTATATGAAAGAATATCAACCAACAAGCAGTGTTGAAAATTTTGTGTAACTGTTATATCATCAATCATAAATGTTTCATACTACTCTTCAGCTTTACTGTAGGATGTATCCGTTGTCTAATATTTAATAAGGAACGTGTGAACATTTGAATGAGTGATCAGAATAGCTTTATAAATATGATTGGTAATTCATATAATTTTTCAAGTGGATTATAAGATATTACTTAAGCCTATTGCCCCCCAATGAAGGTGACCAGCATTCTTCAAACAACTCACTCCTAGGCATTCGCTCCTAGTTTCACCTGGACGCTGTTCATTCTTTTCATGTCTGTCTCCACTTCTCGGCATAAGGTGTTTTTTGGTTTTCCTCTTTTCCACTTGAGGGTTTAAAATAAGGGTTTGTCTTTTGGCTCACTAATGCGCATTCTTCAATGTGTTGCTCATACACTTCCAGCGCTTCTTTCTAATTTTCTCCTCCACTGGAATCTGCTTTGTTCTATTCCACAGTAGGCTGTTGCTGATGGTCAGTGGGTCCGAAGTATTTTGTGTAGACAACCGTTAATAAACTCCTGTATCTTCTAGATGATGGTTTTCGTGGTTCTCCAACTCTCCACTCTAAACAATAGAACTGTTCTGGCATTTTTATTGAAAATGGTAATTTTAGTGTTGGCTGACAGTTGTTTTGAGTTCCAGGTGTTCTTCACTTTTAGAAATGCTAATTTTACTTTACCTACCCGTCTCTTAACACAGTAGTATTGAAAATAAAACAATAAGTTTTCAGTCAAACAGCATTTAGTAACTTATAATAAACGTATAGAATAATGTTGTTGAATACATATGCTTGTTTTAGTAAATCTTTCACTTATCGTATTGATTTTCTACAACAAATATAATTTCGTTGTGATATTTTAAATGATCAATATGTGGAAGTATTTTTCTTGACTGGTTGTGTAATTATTATTGTCAGTAATGAAATTTTACATAAATTGTTGATTTTAGTACTCATAAGTAGTAAAATAATAATTCATTTTTATAGTTTGACATTTTATTAGTATTATAGAATTATTCTCAGTAATATTGGTGCAAAATTTAACTTTATATTTATTTTATTTCATTTTAATCAAAGGATCAGCGTACAGTGAATGCTTCGATTTGTCGACATACAAAATTTGAGGCGTCCAATCATAGACGTACTACAACCTACTCAAAACCTACAAGGTATATAATTGATAATAACACATTATTTTGAGAAATACTGTTTACTGAGCAAGTGGTTAAATAAAATTCTGTATGAGTTGAATAGAATTTTATGAGTATTGTTGATATCTTTCTTTCAGCTTTCAGTTTTATGAAATCAATGATACTTGTATATTCAGTATAGGGCTAGCGGCGGAACCCAGTATACACTTTTCATCCTACGTAGGATTAGTCATCTAAATGTTCTCACATCCTATCGTTGATGTCCATATTGTGGTTGGAACCCAGAACTCTATTATGCGAACGCCCAATGCGTAATATTCTCGGTTAATGGTTTCAGATAGTCACTGATTCATTTTTTCCGTATAAATTCCTTAACAAAGGTTTCCAGTTTCTCAGTTAACACATGTTCATCCTAGGCGTATCTATAAATATTGAAGCGATGATATGAGTCAGCTGGCATAAATGTATTGAATACAGTAGATTTAATGTAGGATTAGAAGCTACTTGTTGGTAGACGTTAAAGAATCCATAGAGTAATCTAAATAAATAAATTCCATCGTTTTAATATTTTAAAAATGGTTGGACAACTACTAATGTTTTGATGAATGCAAACATAATGAACTGCCAATATTTTAGTAGACAGTCAATGAAGTATTCATTGCTTTGGTCAATGGGGTCATGAATATTGACACAATGCATATGCACTTTGTTGTATCCATGTAATATTGTTATGGCAGAGGCATCTTTTTATCACTTCCTTGTAGAATATTTTAAGTTATTTCATGAATTTTTGATAATTTTAGATTGGCTGATCGTCTTATTCGTATGGTACCCAGTAATGTGACACCGGACTTTTGGCAAGAAGTTAACAAGAATTTAACAAAAGCAGGATGGATGGAAGACAGTAAGTGTGATTACTTTATTTCCAAACCAACTAATATTACATTGATCAAAGACGTTTGCGTAATTTGTTTAATGAAAAGCAAACGAATGTGTTTGAAAGCTCCTGCAAAGAGAGTGATAACGCATAGAGTAATTTTAGCCAGTGATCGTTAGAATTTTTGTTCTTTGAGTTTTCCCTAAATCTGGTTTATCATAAACTGAATTTCCTATTAAAATTGTCATCGTTTGACAAACATTGTATTCACGTAAAAAGTTGTTCAAACGATTCGCTAAAGTATTTGTGAATGTTTGCTGCTTTATTAATTTAGGTTAAAGTGTTAACCAGTGGTGATTACATAATTTGTGGTACAAAGTCAAATGTACAAACCAGTGCTTGAACAATCTCTCTTACTAGAGATAATCAAAATATATTCCAGTTAGTTTGGTTAAACCAAGCGGATTACATAGACAATGCAATTTTTACTCTCCTTCTCTCTCACTCACTATCTATCAATCACTATTAGTGTATTTATTGGGGATGTTAGATCCCCAGAACTCGCTTGATAAATGTCTTTATTTCGGATTTATTTCATGGGCTGATCAGTTGACATTGAGATCACATATCCCATCAGGAGGATCCTTGGCTATGATTGGTTACTGTGTTATTTGAGTGTGTGCTATGTTGTGACTCTCCCAAGGACGTCTCTATGGTGTATAAATAAACGTGATTTGTGTGCTGGATTCATTGTGTGCTGGTTGGGTATTAGTAGAATACACTTTCTACGCGATATCAAGACTTCTTGCTAGTACATTTGGGTCAAGGGATCATAGTAGCCTACCTAGACGCTGGTCCATTGTTTTGTTCTCGTTATTCGACTAAAGTGAATCCGTAATAGTTTTAAGCATACCTAGGGACGAGTGTAGCAGTATTGAAATGAATAACCTTGAAAAGTCTATTTATCATATTTTGAGATTGTTGAATTACTAAAAAAGAACTACACAAATCATTTTGGATTCTATCAAGAGAAATTCTAAGTTTTAGTGTAAGTACTGATGTAATTTCACGTTAATGATTTGTTTATATTCAGCTTTTTAATTTTAACTGTTCAAGAATATGCATTTGAAAAGTTTGTAATTTAAAATCAGTATAAATGTAAAATCATTGGAAATGACGTATATATATATACACACACATATCTAGGGTCTACTTAGTAAGTAATTCAATGTGTCACTGTTACATAATACATTGTAATTCATTTCCCCAGGTAACTTGTAAAGTTTTTTTGTTTTAATTTTATTTTTGTATTCCCTTTTAATTTTCATTGTCATCATGAAATGGAAAGAAAAAAAATAATAAGTAATTTTGAATGTCTTTAAAAAGAATTACGCATTTTAAAGAAAACACTGAAGCAGACTTACACACACAATATTAGACTGTAATCTCCAGTGTATTATTTTAAGTAAATCAATTATTTATGTCGATAATTAATTGAATTTCTACAGAGAATTTCAATTATTATATATATATATATATATATATATATATATATATATATTGTGAAGCAAACAAACAAACAAAACAATATCAATTCATTCACATTGTGTATGTCGTTAAGTTTATTTGTAATCTAGATTGTTTCTCTCTTTTTCTTTTGTTTTAAGTAAAAAAAAACTTTTTCTGTCTTCATTTTATTTTTATTTAAAGTCAGAGTATAGAATATGGAATATGAAATTATTTCAGTTTCTTAATTCTTTCTTTTTTTGTTTGAATTGGCGTATTTATTAAAAAAAAGCAAATTCGTCTTTTTGTTTTTCATTCATTTTCCACACACAGGATTCGGTAACGATTTACATTATATTTTTGCATCGGATGAGTAAGTCTAGACAAAATTGAATTTTTATTTGAATTTTTTGAACAATGAACACCATGACTTGTGTTTTCATTCAATGATCAATATTAATAATGGTCAACTGAGTTGTTTTTGTGTGAATGAAACAACATTATGTGTTAAGACACTGAATGCGAATGAGTTTGAGTGTGTTATTTGACAATGATACGATGAACTGGATTCATTGTATTGATTGATATGTCAGGTGTTTTTTGACATTAACCAGATGTTAATTATTGCTGCTGGCACTATTTTATTATGACAACGACACAACTGTTCCCTGCCATTTATTACAATGCAATGAAACTGTTTTATGAATTCAAGGAAAAAAAATAAGATTATAGAATTGATATTTTCAGTTAGAGTTTTGGAGATATGTTTTTCTACACATTTCAAATTATCAATACATCATTGTTAGACCACCATTAGAAACCTGGAAGCACTGGACGGGCGTTTCGTCCTGGTATGGGACTTACCAGCAGTGCGCATCCACGACTCTTGCGCCTGGCAGGATTCGAACCCAGAACCTTCGGTAATGTGCGCAAACGCCTAACCATCGGTCCACTGGATCGTGCAAAACCCCTAGATCAATCAGAGTTAGACATTAACACCGTTTGATGCCGGCCGAGGACGAAACGGCCGTCCAGTGCTTCCAGGTTTCTAATAGTGGTCTAACAATGATCGATTAATGATTTCAAATTATAGAATCGGTTAGATCGATTAAACAACCACTAGTTAACCGATGTCTAGAAGAATAAATTCCACATCATTTTAAATGTTTGTATGGATGAATTCAGCAAAATAAATTCAGCAAATTAGTAATCTAATGTACGTTTACGATTTGAAAAAATCAATAAACTAATTGATTTGACTAGGGAAAAACTTCATCACTTAAATTTCTATTTGTTTTCTTCGTAATCTCTACCACCAACATTGAACCAATTTTTTTATTTGTCACATAAAAAAGACGTTACATTGTAATTATAATTTTGTATAAGTCAATAAATTTTAGTTTATTTAGCCACAAAAATATGTATGGAATAGAGTGAAGATCGGATAGAGTTTTGAAATTTCATTCATCTACCCTTGAATATAAAAAAACGATTTTTACATATTCGTAAACCTTGTTGAAAAGACTTATTGACATAAAATTTCGATACTGAAACCATGATTTGTAAAGATAATCATTTTAAAAGTGTAATAACTATTGAATACATTGACAATGGGTGCGAATTACGAAGTGGCTTAAGTCATAAATATCAATCATTGTATTTCAACTCGATGGCCTAACAATGTTGTGTTGATCGAATTTCTTCTACGTCATGAATACAATTTACTAAAATGTTATGCAGTTAATAGTGACAACCTTTCAGTTGTTCAAAGTCATCAATTGTACCAAAGCTGAAAAAGTCATTTCACAATAGCATTCATAATTGGAAATTTGAATTGATTTCCAGATATTATCAAGTTTTATATACGTGTAATAAAAGTTGCATAGATTGTAGGAAATAAAAACTGATTAAGATAATCTCCCTGAACTAATCAGCTGTCGATGTAGACACTTTTCAATGTCATTTCTTTTTCAATACTGTTCTTTACTCATTAAATAGTGAATAATAATAGGGATCTATTTGAACAATTGTTAGCTAATGACAGTAATATAATCTTTTCGTTATGATAAAAAAATCTGTGGTCATTATGAAATTTCTAATAATTATTTCAATTTTCTGTCTAAAACTAATCAGTGAAATTCATACTCTCAACCAAAAATAAAATACATTTTATAATAAACATTCCGTTCTAATTGATGCCTAGCAGTAAAATCATTAAATTTCTTTTTCATCCTACTTAGGATTCATTAGTTAGAAGTGTTTGTAGTTTAGTGTTCATTGTCTCTTAATGGTTAGTTTTTTCGAAGCTAAATGTTTATAACTATCTAATCGTCAACAAATAACAACACCTTATGTTATCGGTAAAAAAAGTCAATTTCATTGCACAATGCAATATCCAATCTGTACCGATCATTATGTATTTAGGTAATAAAATTTCACGAACAACAACACATTATATATATGTGTGTGTATATATAAGCCTGTATTATATATATATTGTATACCTAATTGAAAATAATTATTTACAAAACTTTCCCATTTAACTAATTGATTCTAAAGAGAAAAAACCGTTTGAAATTTTTTAGGTAATTAATTAAACTTTTTTCTCTTCATATTTTTATTCTCTTCTTCAAGTCATAGTTCCAATTGTCCATATGGTCGAACTACAATTATTACGCTACGTTGTATATTCACACAGAATTTTGAAACATCATTATATCAAATAAAAGATTTCAGTGAATATATCACTGGTAAAATTGAATTACCACCATTATGTCCTGATGGTACATGTGATGGTTGTACTTACCAATTTCTATGGACTACAATGTATGCTTGTCGTATGTGTCAAGAATATGATTATGAGAAAATTCTCGGTGAATGTAGTTATGGTCATAGACAAGTACATTTTCGTGCTCCATGGTAAGTATAACTGAAACACATTAGAATTAGAAAAGAAAAAAGTATTATGTTTTAATTGTCAGTTTGTTGGTTGATTAAACGTAACACACAACCTGACTCATGTGTACATTAGTTCAAGTTACTGCAGTGCATTTAAATAGTAATAAGGAATCATCAGACAAAATTCCAAAATAATGTTAATCGTAATGGTATTATCGGCAATAGGAAAGACTGGGCATTAAAGATGCAACTCTAGCGAAAAGTAAATATAGATTATGTGAATATAGGATGTTAATCTAACAAGATTTTTCGGGTTAGAGTGATGCAATAACTAAGTGCATACTAATAATTCGATGAACTGCCGATTAATCTATGATATATGAATGTTAGATTATTTGATCGGGTCAACTCATATGATCATGTGTTATATTCCTAACAATATGAATGTACAACGAAGTCAATTAGCCATTGGATACTCGAAGCACAATATTTTGGAAAAATGTTATTTAGAAAGCAGTTCATGCCTAAATGTATATATATATATATATATATATATATATATATATATATAGAATGAGTTGAGTTATTTGGTTAGACCACAAAATAATTTATCCTAAAGGATTATGTAATTCCTGACTCAGTGTATGATCATTAGTTCAAAATGTAAAACTATCCAATTGGGACATTGTCAATCATTATTTGTTTTCATGTTTTCAATGTAAATTACGGTATCGATATGTAATGTATACTTTAGATAGCGATTGTCAGAATTAGTTGTGTGATTACTTGAATAACTTGTTGTCATTGTCATTATTTTAAGCAAATTGTATGTCTGAAACATGCTTCATTGTTAAATTATCCTTAGAAAAAGAGATGGAGAGTGAATAATCGAATAGTATAATTCGTCTATTTAAGATAATTTACTTTATTTTTATGATTGGTTTATTTTTCCTCGTGAAATTATTTTCCATGATAAGATTTATGAATATTGCCAGTAAATTTATCGCTTCAAAATTATACATGATTTGTAAATTAAAGTGGGAATGTGATAATTCTGTAAAATTTAAAGACAGTTATTATTTTTAATGTTATTCCGTGTCATCGGTGAGTTACTGTCTCACTCAAGATTTAGTTGAAGTTAAGTATGTGTGTACCATTGGTGTTCGACCAAGTAAACTGATAGTGTTGTGATTCACAGGAACTGTGAAAATTTAGTTTTTGTTGGGGATGTTAGATCCCCAAGACTCGCTTGTTAAATGCCTTATTTTGGATTCTCACGATTGCCTGCATGGGCTGATCAGTTGACCTTGAGACTTCATTTCCTACCAGGAAAATCGCTGGCTGTGATTGGCTGCTGTGTATTTTAGTGTGCTATTTTCGTAACTGTCCCAAGGACGTTTCTGTGATGTATAAATAAACTAGAGTTGTGTGCTTGATTGTACTGTGACTGCTGGGTGTTTGTAGAATATACTTTCTACGCTTACAAAGCCTTTTTACTTCAGCTTGGGATTCAAAGTAGCCTACCTGGACGCTGGTAAAAGTCTCGTTCACGTTTATCGACTAAGTGACGAACATAATAGTTTTATTAATGTGTACTACAGACGAATATCCTTTTTAAATGCTTTCAGATTTTCACTTTACTTTCCATCTATAATCGATTTGTGATAGAGATCATTTTTAAACATTAATATTAGAGAGTGATATTTGATAAGTTTAGCCTGTGGCTAGCGATGGGGACCGTGACACATATTTCATCCTATGTTGTACTTGTAAGCTGGATGTATAGTTGTATTCCAGTGTGTTGATATTCACACTATGACTTGAACCCACAGTGTCGTTCAATTTAAACACAAATAGCAATATAAACTCAACCAATGATTCACATAACCTCTGATTTGTTTTGATGGTTATGAAAGAATAAGCAAGAGTTTATAATTTCCGAGCGATATCATCAATCAGTTAATTAATATATAAACAATCTGTCTGTAATGTAAACTGGAAGAGTAATTATGTGCGTTTACAGATTTTTAAACAGTACGAATAGTCACGCCGATCTCTTTATTTTTATATTCAGTTAACATTTTTATTTGGTTTGTGTTATTCGTTTCTCTGAATACCAAACGCAGTAAAAATTCATTTTAGGCTTTCAGATTTTGACCAGAATGATTGATATTAATAATCTATACTTCTATACAATAAACTATTTCGAAATATTTTCATTAATGAACATTCAAAATTAATCACGCTGTCTAGAGTTTGTATTTCATCAAAATCTTGGAGCAAATATCAATTCATACCTTTCATTTAATGAGTTTTATTAAATTACGATTTCAGCGTGTTCTGTGCATTAGTTCGCTCCGTCCTACTTTATGACTGTGAAACATGGCCAGTCAGAATAGAAGATATTAGAAGATTACTGATTTTTGACCATAGGTGTTTCCGAAGCATTGCTCGAGTATCGTGGGACAACTGAGTAAGCAATGCTGTCGTTAGGAAACGGGTGCTAGGTACCGATGGCAGGTCAATAGATGAAATAGTGAAACTTCATTAGTGGAGGTGGTTGGGACATGTGTTGCGTATGCCCGACAACCGACTGCATTGTCGAGCTATATTTTGCGGTGTAGGAACAGGCTGTCAGAAAGCTAGGGGCGGCCAAACCAAAATATGGCGAGAATCCATCAGGTCACCAACAAGTGAACTGAGTCATGTCGGTGGGTGTCGACTTCCTAATTGGGGTCTGCGAGATGATAATAATCGATCGTTAGAGACCCTGAATGACATGGCTCAAAACCGTTTGCAACGGCACAGGTGCATTCACTCTTTGTGTTCTATGAAATTCTAACCTTCCGAATTCCTCATAACCTCTATCTTTCTATTTCTAAACTTACCTCATTGAATTATACTTCTTGAGTAACATCTTCGAACCCTAATCTCTCTGATTACTTCTAATACTTTTACTACCTCTAGTACTATGGGAATTTAGAATGACAGACGCGTTTCTGTGCTAATGTGGTATGGCAACTTGAACTGCTGTACTCACGTGCTAAGTTCTACGTTGCTGTTGATGATGATGACGATTTCAGCGCTTAGTTTCTTAAATAATCGTAATAATAATGTTTTAAATATATTCAGTTCTTCAATAAGTCATTTCAGACCATTACTTATTCTGTGATGAGTCATCCATTAACTCTTTTTGACTTGTTAGTTCCGCTGGTTAGAAGTTGTTAACTTTTATGATAACTGATCACTTTTCTACTTACTTTTTTGATCATTATCAAGATTGAACTGTTCATTGTGAAATTTTCTTCGAGTAATTGACATAAATACGGCGGTTTTTGATAAGCAGTACTTGTTGTTTATTCTGTAGGACTGTTAGGATAAAAATATTTTAAAAGTATTACATTTAACTTGATGAGGAGAATTAATTTTCTTCTCTTTTCCTGTTCGTGTTTTTTTCTTACAATAGGGAATGTCGAATTCCACAAGGTAGAAATTTTACACTCACTGAAAGATGTCCTCTTTTGTCGAAATCTCAAACAGCTGCTGTTCTACTGACTGCAATCATTCTAGCGATTTTAGGATTGATCATCTTTATGTGTCATCGTCGAAATAAAAAGTAAGTGTTGTATATATTGGACCAAATATATATGTGTGTATGAATACTGTTCACATTTAAACTACTATGTTTATGTTTGTCAGGATTGTTCACGTTTAAACTATTATGTTTGTGAAGAACTAGCCTTTATTGAAGATCCATGAAAAAGTATGAAATATTGGTTAACACTTTGGTTGACATTTGCAACTCTTCCTTAATTTCCACAATGGCTCTACACACAGAGAGGATGAAGTTGATTACCGTTAAATGAGATACTATTATATTCGATTCATTACTTAACTACCGATATTCATTACCGTAGGGGGACTTATGAGTACTGGATTGCACATTGAAGTCATCAATTAATCGTTGTTAGACCACCAGTAGAAACCTGGAAGTACTGGATTGACTGATGATTTCGATTTGCAAAAATCACTAATCTCTAAAACTCTAATTTAAAAATCGTAAAATGTGCTCTCTAGTGACTAGCTTCTTTAGGAAATTTTCTGAGTTCTAGTGAGAAGGCGTGACCAGTGTAGTTCAACCTTTTCGGGTGTAGTCAGTAACCACCAAAGACAAATGGATGAATTCCCTAGATTGATCAGAATTAGACATTAACACCGTTGGATTCCGGCCCAGTTGTTCAGAGGTTAGATGTTCACGCGCAAGATCAATGGTCTTGGGTTGGAATCCTACCAGGTGCAAGAGTCATGGATGCCCACTGCTGATGAGTCCCATAGCAGGACGAAACGGCCGTCCAGTACTTTCAGGTTTCTAATGATGGTCTAACAATGTTTGACTGATGATTTTATTATTCATTACTTGTTTTTTGCTGATAAGTACAATTATAGTTGATGCACTGTAAGAAAAAAGACTTTATAAGTGGTGTTTTATTTTCACAAAAAAAAATCTCTCTCATTTACCTAACGATATGGTATTGATTTATTTTATTATTTAGACTTGAATATAAATATATGAAACTTGTTCAAAGTACATCGGGAAAAAATCAAGTAACTAGTTGTGCATTAGAAAGTGACGGTGATATGGATAAAGGCGGGAGTATACACTACACCACAATGAATAATAATAATGACAATTATAATAAAACACGAATTAAATCACCGCCAAGTTATGCTGATTCAACTGGAATTGTACTAGAACCAAATGAATTCTTGAAAAATGATCATTTTACACAACTGGGTTTTAAAGGATTGCCTAAAGTGAATCTTCCACCAATTATCTACAAAGTAAGCTAATTAGTTTTTGATGTATATACATATGTATCAAGTTTGTATGTGACTCAAAGTCACTTATTAACAAAAACTGATTAACCATTGAAAATTGAAGAATAAAATACAATTTTTCGGCCTGGTTTGAAATGTTTGAAAATCTCCTATGTGGCTTGAAAGTACAAGGTTCGATTTCTTGTAAGGTCATCTGTTTACACTGTTGATGAGCTAGTCCTACAGTCTCCGACTCAGATGAAGAAGATTTTCTGATTTTCAGTGATTATTCAACTGACGTCAGTCAGGTTATGTTAATATGTCAAAATCTCTAAAAACAAACAAAAGGTCGACTTACTTTAAAGGAGATTCTTTTTCACGTCATATCTAATCATCCCATCCTTATTAGATCATATTATAAACGTTACATCATAAATCAAAGAATAACTAGTATCGATTGACAAGCTTACATAACTTTATATTCGTATAAAAATCTAAGTTTTATAATGAATAGCTCGTAGTTATAAACTAAATCGTAACTAGAATTAATTAAAACTTCAATATGAAGTTACATAAACAGGCCTAAATCTTGAAGTGTACATCTTGAATTAATTCAAATCTATAATGTTTATACTTATTTATAACTGCTACTATGTCCACTTTAATCACATCTCTTTTTCTTCCTAATCTAAAACAAGAAATCGATTAATTTCTGAATTTGACTTATTCTTTGTCTTTACATCTTATTCTACACAAAAGATTAACTCATACCCATAGTTTAGAGTAATAGAAAGCGTTATTTGAAACTGCCATACATCTAAAAAATACAGTCTTCAAGTTCAACATTTCAAAAAATCACTCTTATTTTCTCAATTTTTATTTTTGACGTTCATCCGAATAATTTCAAAGAAAAGAATGATTAGATTATTATTTTTATTATTATTAGTAGTAGTATTAAAATAAGCATTTAAACTACCCTGATTTTTCGCTTAATGTAAAGTGTACCAATATGGACAAACAAAGAAAAAAAAACAAATGAACAAACCATTGATCATTCAATCTTTTTTTTCATTAAATGGTGTCATTTAATCCTTTGATATTAGTTCAATTCATTTTTATTTCCTGATTTAAATTACAATCAATAGAAAATTCAAATACACAGTTGCCAGATTAGTATGATTGAATGAGTGAGAGCGAGAGGGAGAGAGAGAGAGAGAGTAAAGTAGTATGAGTAGTAGTGAAAAGGAAATGTGAACTCAAAGAACAAATTGGTTCAGTAATGATTTATGATTCTTCATTCATTCACAGTTAAGTGTAGTGATGTGTTTGAAATTTGTTTAATTATGGAACATATTGACACAAGTAACATATATATATATATATATAACTCATTTTATTAATGTCATTTCATCAAATATATATCGACTTACGAAAAAAACAAAAAAAAATGTTAATTATACATTTCCAATAAACAAATCAGTCAATGAAAGTCACCTCAACTCATTTGGTGGCCTTGATTTTTTTTTGTTGATTATTTTTCATTAACAACATGACTGACAAATATTTGATTGTGTAAGTGATAGAAAATTAGAAAATATCACAAACTAGGGAATAAATTTCATGTTGTTTTTGTTATTGAATTTATTGTGAGTGAATTTTAGGACAAATTTTAAATTTGGTTCTCTGTCTCTCTTTCTCGCCTTGTCTTTCTACATCAATCTTGTTTTGATCAGTGATGAGAAGAGAAAAGAATGACTTGCCATTAGGCATAGCTTTATTCAATACAAGGCTTTGACTTATAGCATCAGTATATATAAGCATAACATTATTTGAAATATTGAAGAAATCAATAGTGTTTGTTGGATTTCAATTTGATTAACCTTGATGACTAACTGATGATCATAGGCTATTTGTACTACGGTTGATCTCTTGTCATAATAGTTGTTTATTTATACTATTCGTACTGATTAAATTTTATGAATTTGAAGTTTATGTGACCTTTGGATCTGTTGGAAATGAAAAAAAGTATTCAAACAATTTATATCAATACACGATATTTTCACTGATGAAGATTTAAAAATTTCTTATCTCATTTAAGAGGTATACATCGTTGTAAAGCTTTTAAATGTTTGCTTTGTAATGAATGATTTAGGCATGTATTTCAGAATTGTCCTTAATCTAAACTAATATCAATCCTTCAGCCAGTAACAACGTTGAACTTCATATGTACGTACATCATATCAAGTTGTCATACCACATCATCACAGAGACGTATTCGTCAATTCAAATCCCATAGTACTAGAAGTAGTAGAAGCATTGACAGTAATCGGAGAGATTAGGGTTCAAAGATATTGTTCAATAGATAGAATCTAGTGAAATAAGCTTAAAAATAAAAATATAAAGTGATGAGCAATTAAGAAGTTTGAGATCTGAGAACACAACACACGATTGCACCTGCACCATTGAAAATGGTTTTTAGCCATGTCATTCAGGGTATCTAACCATCGATGACTATCATCTCGCGTGCCCCGACCAGATGGTCGACACTTATCGACATGACTCAGTCCACTTGTCAGTGAATTCATAGATTTGTGCCTATATTTTGGTTTGGCCACCCCTAGCTTTCTTCCACGGTTAGCAAAATATGACCACTTAAAAACACACAAATGTCACTAGCAAGAAAGTATGTGAAAAAAATTCAATATGAAAAGGTTTTATGTAGAAGATATTTTATGACATAATCTTCAGTTGATCTCTATTCACGTTATTTGAATATAGTTTAAAATAATGAACCGATTCAAGATGAGACTCTCAAAACTGATATTCAGTTCCTCATCACTTTTCGCCTACCATTTCACGCTAGATTGAACTTTGAACTGACCAAGTATTTTGTTCAACACAATGCCTGGATCAAAATTCGATTATTTAAGTTTTTAAATTGCCATTTGCACAAAGATACTCACTTCATCAAAAGACTAAGGTGCTCTGCTTCATCGTTATGAACAAAAATGTTTATCCAGTAATCGAATCGATAACATTAAAAGCTCATGGGAATTTCTAGAGAAAATCTCCAGAATCTGAAAAAAGCTAAAACAGCAGCTCACTTTATTTGATGTTTAATACAGGCTTTTTAGAGAGTTTAAACAAGCGATAGATCATTTATCATATCTTGATTAGGCATTTGCCAATTGGTTGCTATTTCAAACATGTTTCCAGAAACTTTTAAAAGTAGACTGATCACACATACATGTCTACAAATTTCTTTGCTTTTTAATATAAGCACTTTAAATATAAATCTTCTATGCATACTTCCTACCATTTTTTCGGTCTTTTGACTATTACTGATAGAGCTGCAAAATTTATATCACACTTATCAGATATCAATTACCGTGATAAATTCATTCTCAGATACTTTAAATTTATCTTGATAAATTCGTATTTGTATTACTTAAGTAATGACAGACTACTTTTTAGCTTTCAGAACATTTCGATATTGTTCTTTAATTTTTCTTACGTCACACACTTATGTTGATAAGAATGACTTGTGTAAATCAGTGAAACTAATAGTATAAACAAATCGGAATTTTTATCGCTGACGCCTAGACGAAAATTACAGTTAAACAAATACATGAAATCAACCAGCACACTTTAACTTAAAATCATTTTGATTTAGTCCATTGTGTACACTTAGTGTTAATTTGTAAATTGTTGGTTAATGTTTTAGTAGAAAACTACCGCTTTTAATTAACTGCACTATCTGTTAAATTAAATTTTATTTTAAACTGGTTTTAAATGAGTTTAATAAACAAAGAAACAAACATTAAAGTTCTTCAGAACTATCTTAAATATCATTAAAGCCAAGAACCCATCTAAGCCAGGAAACTATTTACAGCTTAGAGATACTTGACTACCGAAATTTCTGAAGTTCTGATGAGAAGCTGTAACTAGTGTGACTAAACTTCTTCAACTGTGGGAAATAGAAGACCCAAAGGGAATGAAAGATGTCACGCAGTATTGTGAATTCATTCAAGTTAGGATTGTACACAATTTGATTACGGCTCAGTGGTTTAAATGTACATGTATGAGACCAAAGGCCCTAGGCTCGGTCCTTAGTTACGGCATCCCGGGTGCATACTTGGAAGAAATGACAGCTTAGTGCTTGTAGATTTTCACTTGTTGTCCAAATTGATATTGGTCCGTGATTTCAGTAAGATTCGGCGATTTCCACGATGCCATACTGACAACTACCCGAAATACTTGAATCGTTATTTCTAAATTACTAATCGATTTCAATCAATCTATTCGAATTAATATCTGGTTTTGAAATAAAATGAATGGTCGATTAGTCATTTTAGCTAACATTTGAATTTTTTCATCTCCTGTACATTGGATTTGGGGTTAGAATACTGTCTTTGATTATTGATTGTATTTTTGTAATTTTCTATAAATATTGTATTCGTTTATTCGGTACATGATTTTGTATTTTTTTAAAGGCTAAATCGGATACAGATCGTGATATTCTTACAGAGGATGATAATGTTCTATGAGGAGAGTAAAATGACGCGTTAAATAATCAATGACCATTGAATTTCATTCCTCCAACCTAAACCTTCAAAACACACTTTCTCACGGAAAGAAAAGTCACATGGTAGTATTGTTTGTTCTTTATTCCTCATTGAACCATAATCCCACTCATTTTCAACAAGAGTTTTATTCGTTTCCATTGAAAACAATTATTGTTTTTGTGTGTGCGTGCGTGTGTGTACATGTGTACGTGTACTTATGTGTGTATATCTTTTGGTTGATTCAAAATTTGTACACCTGTTTGTTTGTCACAATCATTGTCATTATTGAACACATTGAATCGCTTGAATGACCTTTACATATATCCCAGGCCAGTTAACACGATTGTTCCTAATATTGGAAGTAACTCAGTCAAGCATCTCGAGCATATTTTTCTTTTTAAAGCTTTTTCTTCCCCATAATTATTATCCAACTTTCTTCTTCTTGTGCTTATTATCATAAAGTCATGTCAAGGAGAATAACATATCATCTTGTTGTCATTATTTTTTTTTCTAAATAAATAATCATGAAGCATTTGTAAATGTTTTTTTAAAATATTTTATTGTTATTTATTCCATTTTCTTTTTCTATAAAAAGAAACGTTAAATGTTACATTGAAATTTATTTGAAAATTCAATTTTTCTTTTTTTTTCATTACTCTCTTACACACTGACAACAATAACATATCATCATATTGTGTGTTTATCTTCAAGTTGTTTATTTAAAATTGAACAATTCAAATTTGTTTTTTTTAATGTCTAGGCCTTTTAAGCGTAAATATTCTTTTTTGATGTATTGTTTACTTTCACGTTTTAATAAATACAGAATTTAATCCAGTTTCGTTTCTGATTCACACAGTGTTGATATGATCTGGTTGCTTGTGTGTGTGTGGGAGAGAAAGAGGGCAATGTGACGGTATTGCCAGCAAAATGAATATTTACACACATTTTCGCCTACTTGTATGGTTGTGTTGTGTAGTAGTATACTTTCGTTGTCAGCTTACTGATCATTGATATTTATTCTAATATTTCAATTTGTCATTGCAAATATTTCTCAAGATAGTTGAGGATATAAAATTATCTAACTGTGTATTCAATCAAGTTACTGATTGTTTTCGTTAAAATATTTTGTTACAATAATTATCTTAAACTATAAAATGACACAATAATCTACTGACAACAGAAAATTGGCTGTTTATATTTTCTTGTTGTTGTTGTTGTCACTATCATTTATGACAATGATGAATAATGAAAGGAAGGAAGAATGGAATTCAAGTGAATGTATGTGGAATAATTCAATGCATTTAAATTGAGTGATTAGTATATGAGTAATAGCATTATTTTTTCTAACAATCAATGAATCAATCAGTAGCAACATAGAACTTCGTACGTGCGTACGTCCATCAGATCAGGTTGTCATACTACATTAGCACAGAGATGTAATTGTCAATTCAAATCTCATAGTAGTAGATGTAGTAAAGATATTAACAGTAGCCGGAGAGGTTAGAGTTCAGAGATAGTAGAATCTATTGAAATAAACGTAAAAAGAAAAAGATAAAGGATGGGGAATTAAAAATTTTAGGATTTGAGAGAAAACAATGAATGAATGCACATGTGCTATTCTACACCATTTCGATCCATGTCATTCAGGGTTAATAACCATCGAATACTATCATCTCGCGGACCCTAACCAGGTAGTCGAGACCTACCGACATGACTCACAGTTCTAACATATTTTTACGTCGCAAGATATAGCTCGACGAGGCAGTCAGTGGTTAGGCATACGCAGTACATATCCCAACCACCTCCACCGATGAAGTTTCATGAAGTTACTTACAGCTATGATATTAATCAGTTAATTAATATGACAGAACACATGGACAAATATTGTTGTCAAGACTGTATAATACAAATCAAGAATATACATATTTAGGAAGACTAGGTTTATTTAAAAAATTATGTGTAGACATAATCTTCAGGCATCAATCTGCAAAACAAGCAGATTTTTGACTGTCTTCTCTCACAATGATTGCCATATGCGTTTTGATCTCGATGCATTTCCTTCTGGTAGCAACTTTTAGGCGATGGTCCTCTGCATACTATTTATGTGCAACCTTGTGATTAGTGTCCACTATATTGAAGTCATCAAGATATATATATATATATATATATATATATATATATATCAGCTTTTCGTCATAGTCTGATATTAATCAGTGACTCACTAACAACTACATACCCCTCGATATTTGTTTACTCGGTGTTTGAAACTTTTAATACAATCATATATGAACAAAATACAGAAGTTCAGTAGACTTATAAATGAATCAGAAGGTTTATCATGGATAAGTCGTCTGTCATGATTTAACGTGGTTTGCTTGGAAAGCAGGTGTTGAAGATGGTAGTTTGGAGTACCTGTATTAAATCAAATTATATTGTTGTAGCTAAATCACCTCTCATATCTCTCACTTATTGTTTGGTTAGACTTTATAATGATGTCAGTTTGTGTGATATGCACAAACGTAAGAATTGTACATTGTTTTGTCAGGGTTCGTGGAAATTTATTTATTTTCTGCATTTCGTTTGTTGGTATGAGATATGAATCATCAATTTACCGCCTGCGAATTAACCTCAACACCCCCTTTAAATTTCTCAATCATATATTTTCTTGTTACCGACACTCTTAAGAGATTTGACATGAGTTTATATGTTGTCATCTTTGGAGAATCGCATAAAATGAATGACTGGTATTCAGTGTTATTTACTAAAAAGTCGGCTGCCAGTTCAGTGTTTGTGAAATTAAGTGATCATTAACATTATCGACATAATCATGGTAGTTTTGAAGCGTACACTTTTTTCCATCTTTAAAAATAGTAAAGAGGATTAAATCTGGTCTGTTTAATTGAGAAATTTTAGTTATTGTTTTAGACAACCATAATGAGCGCTTAATTTAAATAGAACTGAATACTTTGATTCTTAGGTTGATTTGTTGTGATGACAGTGTTTACAACCAATTTTCCCGATGGGTTTTATTATCTTCACGCATTGTTTTGTTCTCATTGGTTATTTTGTTTAATTAACCTGTCACTTTGGATTGATTCACGATTTTCATGGGGATTAATAAATTATATTAATGTCAACTATGCTAAGATTATGTCGTCAGTTTTAACTGGGTTATTACTTATTAAATAATCACATTTATCGTTTCTATTCAAATGTGTTCAATTAACAATATTGACTTAACCAACAACAAAAGCTTTTGCTTTGAAACTACCTAGCTCAAACAAAACCCCAATCTTACTAGAACTGTGAAAATTTTAGGTAACAGTCTTAGGAGAACTGCTCAAAATGACATTTATTTAAAATAATTATGCAGATAATAATTGAGTACAAATTTTTGAAACCATGAATCGATCAATGTTCGACCACCATTAGAAACCTGGAAGCACTGGACGGCCGTTTCGTGGTCCTAGTATGGGACTCCTCAGCAGTGCGCATCCACGACTCCTGCACCCCGAAGGATCCGAAATCAGGACCTTCGGTATTTTAGGCGAACGCCTAACCATCCGACCACTGAGCCGGTATCTAACAGTGTTAATATCTAACTTTATCAATTCACGGAGTTGCGCAACCTCATACACAGTCTTCGGTAGACACTGTCTACACCCGAACAGGTTGAACGTCACTGATCACGTCTTCCCACTAGAACTCGGAGAAGATTCCTTAAGAAGATAGTCACTAGTGAGCACAGGCAGTGTCTACCGAAGACTGTGTATGAGGTTGCGCAACTCCGTGAATTTGATCAAGTTAGACATTAACATGGTTAGATACCGGCTCAGTGGTCTAACGGTTAGGGCGTTCGCGAACAATACCGAAGGTCTTGGGTTCGAATCCTGCGGGATGCAGGAGTCGTGGATGCGCACTGCTGAGGAGTCCCATACCAGGACGAAACGGTCTTCCAGTGCTTCCATGTTTCGAATGGTGGTCTAGCATTGATCGATTCATGGTTTCAAAAATGTGTAACTTACCAATCTTCACAACCCCTGTAATGAAAATAATTGAGTACTCATCAAAATGATGATTAAATTGTCTTGTATGATCACATAATAATAATAATCATAATAATAATAAAAAGTATGAATGAATGAAAAATTTTGATTAGTTTTTAATAATTTATAAAAAAAACTTAAGAACTTAAACAAATAAAATCACAATTATAGAGTGATAAAATGATAATTGAAGTTTTGTTTAATGAAGAAGAATTTAAAAAATGTTATTTATGAGGTTCAAAATTATTATTGAGTTTTTTGTTTGTAAAAAAAAGAGGTTTTAAGATACACAAAAAAATACTATTTTATTGAACAATGCAACTGAAGGAATAATATAGTATAGAGAAAAAAACAAATTACTAGAGAAAGTTAAAGGATCTTTGAACGAGAATTATTTACAAATTTGATAACATTAAAGAGTTTTTAATCAATGAACTTGGTCTACACATCATGCATTAATCAGTAAGACAAATCATATGAAGTACCGTAAGTGAATAAAACACGCTAAGTATCGAAAATTCATGTTTATTTGGTAAGAGACAGCGTTATACTGTCCATACACTGTTCCATAATAAACAGAAGTTAAAAACAAAATAACTGGTCAGTAATGTGGTAGTTGGTTTATGTATTAGGATAAACAATATGTATATATTTAAACTAGCAGGACTAAGATTCATTTGAATTATAATTAGTGAATAATATTAAAATAACTTTAGTTGAAATGTATTACTTACGATCGCCTCCTTTTTATTAAACAATTTGTATTCCTTTCCAATTTTTTTTACTTCTTAAGGCTGTCTCCAAATAATAATAAAAATAGTCTTGAAAAGTATATAATCGGTTATTACTATTTCTAAGATGGATGTTGCAGCTGATAATTTTGTACAAGGATTACTTCTTTCAAAAGCATGAGTTTTGGCGTTCATGGTTTCAGTAAATCAAATCCACGTTCGGACGCGTTTACAAACAAAGATAATTTGTGACTGAGGATGCTGTATTACTTGAACAAGAAAACCTGTGCTCCCAATCACATATTGACTGCATTTTTAACATTGTTACATCCTCAAAATTTATCATTAGATGAAAAGCAAAATGGCCGCAGTCGTTTTAGTACCAGTCTTGAATAATTATTTAGTTCAGATTGCATGGGTGATTTGAAAATCAATAGATTTGAAGCCATAAATATATTGTTCATTTACAGATCATCACACTGTCATCATTTCTACTTAATCTGATGAGATCTTTTTGTAATAACCATTGAAAATAACTTTGGTATTCTTCTAAGAATTTTTCCATAAAACTACTTTACATTCGGGATTTCCAAAAGGCATTTCAATTTAGCAAATTTAGTCTTAATAGCTGTTGAATAATCGTCGGTTAAAATATATAGTGTGAAGAATAGTCAGTGATCAAAAAGTCCACCGAGTTACGGTGAAATTGGTTTACGCAGCGTTAGACAATAGGTTGCACAAGACAAATAATTGTAATCATTTTTAAAATCGATCGATATTCTTGTGAAGATGCATAATTATGTAATAAAAATATACTATATACATAAAATAAGGAAACTTATTTTTTAATTCATAGACTATAGAATTTAAAATAATCTATCAATTCAGGTTCTCTTTTTCTAATGAGGCTAATTTATAGTATTGACGGAATAGCAGATGCTAGTTCGTTGTGATAAACAGGTTCATCAATAGAAGAGCGGTAATCCAAAGTTTCTCAGAATTATTAATGATTGTCATGGTTTGTTTTTGACATATGTACACATACATCATCATTCATTTTATTTCATTATGTTGGAAGAAACAAAAAAACTACAGTTTC